TTGTGGCCCTTCCTCCACCTTCAGTGCTGGGAATACTGTCGCCCCCAGCCCCGGCTTCTGTCCTCACATCTCTTCTCCACCCCCTGCCTCTGTCTTACAAAGACTCTGTGAGCCCACAGGGCCCACCCGGATCACCCAAGATCACCTCCCCAGCTCAAGATCTCCTTAAGGACACCTGCACAGTCCCCTTTGCCATGCGAGGTCATGTGGTAACAGGTTCAGAGGATCAGATCAGGACGGGGACCTCTGCTGGGGGGCATCATTCAGGCTCAGCTTCCCCCCTGCCCCCACCAACCTCTGTCCCTCCTCCCCTCGAGGGTTCCAGAAAGTTGAGTTTCTCTATGTGCTTTCTCCCTTCTGCCTTCGGCTCAGCACAATTCTTGCCGAGTTGTTTTCTTGTGTTTTGCGGAGCGGGGACACAGAGCTGGCCCAGGAGGCTGCTGGCTCAGCCTTCTCATCAGAGGGACGGGGATGAAAAGTGCCTCGGCCTCAAAGGGCTGGAGGGATGATTTAATGAGACTGTAGGTGTCAAATGCTGATATGAACTTGTTAGCTGTTCTCTCTGCTGCAATACTGCTTTACCTGTTACTGCTGGGGCTGTGGTATTCTGTTCTCATCATGACCTGTTAGCTGTTCTCAGCCACCTTTGCCTTGGGCAACTCCTCTTGTCTCCCCAGCTGCTAGAAGGACGTGGCCACGCCTGCTGCCTCGGGTCTCCTCCTCAGCCCTCCTCTAGGAAGCGGAAGGAGACCTCTTGGACTGACTGAACAGCTCTTCCACCCCAGCACTCCCAGCCTGGTGCTTGGTCCATTGGCCATGGCCTTCTCTCTCCAAGATGGCGGCCGCTTAAGACCAGGACCCCGTAGGGTTGCTCTTTGAGCGCATCTCCCAACTAGGCATCCTCAGCTCAGCTCTGGCTGTGTATTAGAATCACCTGGGCCCTTTTAGACTCCTGCTGGCTGAGCCCACTGCTTAGCTGGCCTGCGGATAGGCCTCAGCAATGGATTTTGACAAGATCCTAGTAGTTCTCCAACTTTGGAGTGCATCGCAGTCCCCTGGAGGGCTTGTGCAAGCACAGACGACAGGATCCATGCCCAGAGCTTCTGATCTGTGAGACCCAGGGTAGGGCTGAGAATCTGCCTTTTTAACACGTTCCAGGTGATGCTGGCCGGAGGAGCGCTAGCTGAGAAGCAGCAGGATAAAGTATAGGTGGGTAGTTCACAGATACACGCCTCAGGAGAGCCTGTTGGGGAAATCTGGGAGAGAAGGAAGAATTTGCATGGAGTTGGGTCATTTGCCCTCACCTCAGATGTCACCTCCTTAATGACCCTGGCTGCCTGATCGTTCTTGGGTTACTGTGACCCTTACGTTGTTTCTGTCCATGTGCCTTGATCCCCATGACTGTACACGCCCATACTAGGAAATTCTCAGAGTCAGGACTGCGTGGCTCCCTGGGCCCTTGGCTTCCTCTCTGCCTCCATCCCTCCCTCTGAAACCCTTCAGAGCCTCGCCCTGGCACTCTTTCAGGGCACTTGGGGCACCCCAAATAGAACATTTGCTCTGCTTGGCACCTTTCCGCCTTTTCTTCCCGAGCCCAGCATGTCTGATAAAGCGTGAGTGGGGTTTCCGTGTATGTGTGTCCCGGGCACGGTTTGGCACGCTCCCGTTCTTTCTGTTCACTTAAGCTTCCCCGGGGTGCCAGACACCGTCCTTGGGGCTCCGTGTCTGGTTTTCTATTAGCTCCCGGAACCTTCTGAGTCTCTGCTATTAAAACCCTCCCTTTCCAGAGGGGGAAACGGAGGCACGGGGGAGGTGTTGGTCAAATATCTTAGAGACATAAATGTCTCAGCCCTTGAAACAGGGAAGCGGTCTCTGGGGTCTAAGTCTGCAAGTGTTTGCGATGAACGGAATCCCCCAGCCGGGCGGGAAGGCGGAGGAAGCCTGAGGAAGCCTGGCTCCTGGCTCAGCGGGAGACCGGCTGGCCTTTAAGGTGCCACGCGAGCACCTGCCAGCTGTGAGCTCCCTGCTCCCTCTGCCAAGTCCTCTTTCAGCAACTGGCGTATTTGCCCTTGGTGGCTCCTCTGGAAACCTCCACTGGGATAAATGTCAGCTCCAAGCCACCTTTGCTTAGTGAAAACACCCTAAGAACACCCTAAGTCCTTAGGTTCTAGACCATTTCCTTAGGGCTTGGGGAGGACCTGGCAGGCCCACGTGGGTCTGTTTGCTGTGGGCAAATAACACTTTGGAGATCGCTCGGGGCGGGGGGTGGGCACGGAAGATCGCATTTTGTAATTCTGTTTATATGAAATCCTCAGGATGGGTGATCCCTAGAGACAGAGAGCAGATCGGAGGCAGCAGTGAGGGGCTGGGGGAGGCGGAGGGGCGTGACCGATCATGCCCCCAGCTCTCCTTTTGGGGGAATGAAAATGTCTTGGAACTAGATGGACGTGGTGGCTTCATAACGTTGGAAATATGTTAAATGCCACAGAATTGTTCCTTTTAAGATGGCTCGTTTTTATGTTATGTGAATTTCATCGTAATTAAGAAAGAGAGAAAAAAGGAGATGGGAGGGGTACCCCCTCCCCATCAGGTTTGACGGGAAGGGCCAGGGGCTGCCCCAGAGCGAGCACCCAACCTCGATCAGGATAAGCCACTCCAGTGGCAGCGGGCATACGCTGCGATCCTCACCGGGCCGACCCCATGTGAGCGTCCCCGGCAGAGGTCCCTCACACACAGCTGGCGCTCGGGGGGCTTGTGCTTAGCCCCGGGTCCAAGGGCTCTGCTTTCTGAACCCTGCAGTGAGATGGAGCGAGCTCTGCCTGATGATGTTCTGGTCTACACCACGCCCCAGCAGCCATGGAGCCCGGGAGGGGGCTGGCAGAAGTGGGTTGGGAAAGAGATGGGAGGCCAGAAGGTAGGGACTGCGAGTGTAGACAACGCCTTCCTAAACCCCACTGCGGTGAATGCGAGAAGTGAGTGCACATGTCTGGGATGTGTAGCCCGGAAAGGAGGGGGTCTGGCTCCATCAAGCCCCCCTTGTGCTTGTGCTTGCTTGATTCTACAAAAGCATGACGAGGAAGGCATCATTGTCCCCATTTTGCAAATGAAGGAATTGTGATCAGAGAGGTTGTCATTTGCCCAAGGAGATAGGCTGGCACATGATGCTGGGCTGTGACCTGGGCAAAGCTAGGGTGAGGGTGAACTGAGGCTTGTGGCTGAGGGTGTGCATCCACTCGTACATTCAGTGGAGCTGAGGGCATGCATCTTTTGACTGGCATCCTCTGCTCTGGCTGAGAAGTGCTTGTGGAGCACGCCCCGAGTCCCAGGCCCTCGTCCCCACCCTGCAGAGTGGCCGCACTGTCCGAGGATAGAGGCATTTTGGTGATAATCTCTTGCTGGCAGTTGCAGAAGGGCCATCAGGGAGAGGACACAGGACTCCACCAACAGGCAGCACTGTGTCTCATGGGCCTAAGAATTAGCATTTTACCTGGGGGTGTGTGTGGACGTGACATGGGGTCTGCTGCAGCCATATGGAAAACCATGGGTTTTATCCTGACAGCAGCTAGAATCTATCCAGTGTTTCAAGCATGGTGTATGTGTGCATGGGGTGGGAGCGGGACGGGGGACAGGATTTATGATTTTCAGGGTCATTCATGCTACATAAAAAATGAATTGGGTGCGGTCCTGGCCAGAAAGAAACCGCAAGATCAGGAACGGCCAGCCCAGCAGGACTGCGTCCATGTGTGGTGTGAGCAAGAACGGAGTGTTTGTGCTGGGTTGATGGAACCAGAGCTTGTGAACAGAAAAAAAAAAAAAAAAAAAAGTTATGTCTCATTTTGTGATGCACATTTCTCTTAAACGCTGACCTAAGAAGAGCTTGTGAAGATTGGGGGTGCCTGTTGAATGTAATCCTGGCTATGCTTCCCGGTCGTGGAACAAACGAGCACAATCCCAGGAAGCGGATGTGGCTGGCAGAGCCTTGCGATGCAACGAGGGGTTGGGGAGACCCTGTTGGGAATGGGGGCTGGCAAGAAGGAAAAAGGGAGTTTGCCATCTCCATTCTAGCTGAAGGAAGAGGTTGGCCACTGCCTCGAGCCCCTTCCTCCTTCCCAATGCCCAACAACCTGCTGGAAAAGGAAAAGATGATTATCACGTCCTGGGGGATTGGAATACTAGGAATCATTTTGCAAAAATACCTAGCATTTTCCCAATTGAGATCTCCTGGGTTATCACATCTTCCCATGCCCTTCAGGTGTTTCTTATGGCTGCTTCCCTGGCCTGCCATATAGACAGAACTCGGCTGGGCTTCCCCCTTCCCTTGGGTTATTGCAGATGACACACCGAAGGGCTCTGATATCACCTGTCATCATCGGGGGGCTTCCTGTACAGTGTAGCTCGTACCTGACCAGATCCTATAAGTTCAGGAGTCAGGATTCTAAATGAGTTCATTATTGCTCTGCTCTGTCAGCTTTGTGCGTTCCAATTCTGTTAGATAAGTTTGCTTCAAAATAGATGCGTCAGTAATAATCAACAACTCTTGATGAGGTCCATGAAGAGAACAGATAGTGATAGACTCAGTCAGTGGAATACTTAACAGCCATGAAAATTAGCAACCGTCCCTGCATGCAAGTCACGCATGAATCTCACTAATAGCGCTGAGTGGAAGTAAGCAAACATGGGAAAGTAGCTATTGAAGGTTACTTTTTATAGATAAAGTTTGTATAAAATTCAAACCTGGCCAAACCCACCTATGGTGACAGAGAGACCATGACAGCTGTCACCCTGCCTCTTGTGGGAGGGGAACACAGGTTGCTTCTAGGGGCTGGTAGTGTCTGTTTCTTGACTCGGAGGCTGGCTGTATGGGTCAGTTTGTGAGAACTTGAGCTGTATGAACTTGAGCTTAAGATAGGGGCGTTTTCTCTGTGTATGTTGATACTTTGAGTACAGCATATCAGTGCAAAATTACAATTCCCTTAACAGCAGTCCTGCTTTCTTCACAGATTGGAGGACAGTGTGAATCGAAAGCCATCGAAAAAGAGAAAACGGTCGTAGCTCTGTCACCCAAGGAAGCAAGCAAATGCCACAAAGAGGATTTGGCCAAAGCATTTTATGTAAGAATTAAATTTGTCTTTGATGCCAGTGTGGTACAGGTTTTAGCTTCAGAAGAAAGCAACACAAACGATACATTTTTATCATCATTGCTAGAAAATGCTGCTCATTTTGAACTGTTTTGATATCTCCCACGGACTGTCATCATCACTGTTGTCAATGGAACCAACCCTCATGGGGCCCTTGCCAGAGGACAGGCACCTTCCCGAATCTCTGTATCCTTGTTTCTCTTACTTGGAGGCCCAGAGAACATGGGAACTCATGTGGTTCCCAAGGAGCCAGTGAGACTTGAGTCCAGGTGGTCTGACATGAAAGTTCAGACTTTTAATCGCCCCTGTTCACACACTTCCTCTTTTATAATGCAGGATTTTGGCAATTACTGAAACCAGATACTTACATGTTTCGCAAGTGAATTTGACTTCCTGGCCAGTGCAAGAAAACACACACACACACCCCTTCTCTCCACGAAGCTCTTCTCTAAGGCTAAGGAATGTTGCTTGCCATCTGTTTTTAATTTACTTAGAAAACTGAGCAAACATGGTGGTGTGTGTGTGTTAATAACCCACCACATTTGGGAAAGCATTTCCCAAGACAGTTGGAAATCAGTGTTTCACGCCAGCCTTTTCCCTTTCTTTCTTTCTTTCTTTCTAGAGAGAGAGAGTGTGTGAGTTACGGGGGCACAGAGGGAGAAAGAGAGTCCCAAACAGGCTCCATGACTAGCAGAGAGCCCAATGTGGGGCCTGATCCCACGACCCTGAGATCATGACCTGTGCCGAAACCAAGAGTTGGACTCTTAACCGACTGAGCCACCCAGGTGCCCCATCATGCCAGATTTTCTTGAGAATAATTCAAACATCTGTTTATATTCAAGTCCCGCTTGTTAGTATTAAGAGAAGGAAATAGTTTTGCCTCACCTAGATGTCTTCCCTGTCCAGCCAATGAGCTTGGTTTCTTTCCTCTTTTGAAATGAATCTAAAAATCGGTTCAGTTTCTCCTGTCACCTCTTTCACCCAGTTCAGCCTTCTTGTTGCCGACTTTTTTAAAAACAAGGATACCATTGCTGCAACCAGAATAACGAAGTTGCCTTACATAATCATCAACTTAATATTAGTTGGTGTAAAGAGCTTGAAATTGTATCTGGCACAGTGCATGTGCCATATAATCATTTTAGCTATTTTTTTGTTGTTTTCTTTTAAATTTTTAATTGTGGTAAAACGCGCAACATAGCATTTGCCATCCTAGCCATCGTTGAGTGTATGGTTTGGGAGTATTGAGCCCACGTTGTGCAACCAAACTCCAGAACTCTTTGCATCTTATAAAACTGAGGCTCTGTCCCCATGAAACTTAACTCCCTGCTGCACACCACGCAGCCCCTGGCCCCCACCTCCTCCTCGTCCCCTCTGGGAATCTTACTGCTCGAACCACCTCATGTAGGTGGGATCGTACAGTCCGCCTTCTCCTGACTGGCCTACCTAGCCACCTCCACTTGGCTTTTGAGAAAAGCACTGCTAGGGAAGCCTGGGTGGCTCAGTCGGTTAAGCCTCCAACTTGACTCTTGGTTTCAGCTCAGTTCGGGGTCTCAGGGTCATGCGAGGCAGCCCCGCGTGGTCGGGGTTCATGCTCAGCAGGGAATCTGCTTGGGATTCTTCCCCCTCCTCTTCCTTCCTCCTTTGCTCCTCCCCCTTCCCACTCACACACACACTCTCTCTCTAAAATAAATAAATAGATAAAAATCTTTGGGGGGGGGGAAGGAGAGCAAATAGCGCTTCACACACATCCCTTCGAGACCTACTTCTTTCAGTATCCATTCGCCCAGAAGGGTAATTGCTGCATCATGTGAAGATTCTATTTTTAATATTTTGAGGAATCCCCATCCTGTTGTGCATAGTTGCTGTTCCATTTCAGGTTCCCAAGGCCCATTTTTTTTTTTTTTTAAGAAGAAAATATAAGCGTTTCTACATGCTACAACCGCACTCGTTGAAATTTAGGCTTGAGGTTGTCTTTTCTGTCGTAATTATAGGGCAAGAAAGAACTGGAATGTGGGTGTTCCTTCTCTCTCTCTTGCTATTTGCTCGGGGTCTTTGAACTAGTTCCTTCTCCTTGGTGGACAGCCCAATTTCCTGGTCGATTTTGGAAGTGGCCGGCTTCTGAAGCGGGAGTTCCGTGAGGTGGGCTCCCTGGTCCTTCAGGGCCCACTGGTGAGCCCGTGCTTACCCGTGTCTTCCAGGTGGACTTACAAAATGGGCTGTCCGAGTTCTCGGTGTCGCAGCGGAGACAGGTCCATGGCTGGAATGAATTTGTCGCTGATAACACCGAACCGGTGTGGAAGAAATATCTCGATCAGGTAGGTGTCATTCCTTGCATTAACTAGTGCAAGCCAGAGGGGTGGGATAGTCATTCATTCTTTAAATATTGACCGGGGCTGTCCTTGGACCAGTCTTGGGGTGCAGGGGTACCAAGATAAAGAAGGCTCCCTGCTCATGCAGGCCGGTTTTAGCCAGCAGGAGGCATGGCCATGAATAGATCTATCACCCAGGCAGCCGTGACCATGAATGAGAGTTGTTACATTCACAGAGGGTTTTCACAGGCTGGGCCCCGTGCCGAGCGAGTGAGCATTAACTCCCTTCATCTTCCTCTTCATTTTGAGGCGATGAGGGTGAGCAGAGGAGTTGAAATATTTCCCCCAGGCTGTGTAGGGTTGCTAGGGTTAGCAAGTAGAATGCCTTGTTCAACTTGAATTCCAAAGAAATACAGTTTTCTGGTATAAATATGTCCCAAGTGTTGCATGGGACATAATGACACCCCCCCCCAAATGTCCCTTATTTATCAGCAATTCAAATTTAACTGGCTGTCCTGTAGTCTGCCTGGCAGCTGGAGCCTGGTGCCCACGGCAATAAGTGGCATGCTAGGGAGTAGAGCCAGGCTGCTAGCTCCAGAGCCCCTGTCCTTCTTCGCCTCGGCGCTTGGTACTGCCACCGTGCCAGGTGGATGGCACAGAACTCAGATGCCTATAGCCACTGGGGGAGGAAAGAAAAATTTGAAATACACATGGCACAAGTTCTGGTCTAGAAGTCAGCACCCCCACCACCTACACAGTATCTGTTCAGAAACCGCAGTTCACAGGCTGATTACCCCAGATACCGGAGGACATTCAGACTGCCTCGGTTTCCCCCGTATGGCCCCCTGAAGTCCCTCCCATCCCTGACACCTGCCGCTCTGCTCTGTGCTCCCCGAGCTGCCGCAGGCTTCAGCAGCCTCCCTATTGGCTCAGCGTGTAAAGCTTTGTGATTGGTTGGTTGGGGACCAATCACAGCTCTCCTTGCAGCATCCTCGCGCTCTACCCTCCTCGTACCACTCATCAGTCAGGTCTCTGCTCACGGGAGATGTGACTCCTTGATGCACTTGGCACCAAATTCAGCTTCTGGGTGCGCGGGTGGCTCTGGCCAGCCCGAAAGCTTCCCGGAATCCCCGGGCTGGAAGGAAGCTGCCGCCCCGGCTCCTGGAAGCTGGAGTTCAAGGAAGCAGGCTGACGCTGGCGGTGGGGATGGACCGTGTCCCTTCTGTCCGCTGGGCCTCGGTCAGTCCTGCTCTGGCTGCCCCTTCCTCCAGGACACTCTCCTGTTTCCACAGCCAACTTTCTTCCTCCTTCCGCCCTGTTAACACTCCCACAGACACCAGCCAGGCAGGGCCTTTCCAGAAGCGGTCCTGGCTTTCCCTTTCTAGAAAATGGTTCTAATATATACCCACCATTCTGAGTTTGGCTCGAGAAGCGGATCGCTTAACGCATGTTAAGGACTGGATAACGGTTGTGCCCCCTGCGATGTCTCCTGGTTGGCCCTGACGGAAGCCTAGTGGTTGAAAGCACAGGTGTTGGATCCAGCTAGCCTACATGAACCCGTGGGCAGTTGAGTTTCTTTGAGAGCCTCGGGTCCCCATTTTTCAAGCAGGGATACTGAACCGTGTCTGTGTCAATGGGTTAGGAAGAGCCTAAGAATTGGTACAGCTGTAGCATTGAGCAGGGCATGTGGGACGTGCTCAGGAAAATGTCACTTGGCTTTCTTGTTCCTATTGCAGACCCCTTTCTGCCTGTCTCCCTTGAATGAGTGGGCTCAGAAGGGCCCTGAGCCAGGGAGGATCTGGCCATCCATGGCCAGAGCAGCCCATGTGGCTTGTAGCAGGGCCTTCCTGTTGGGTCTGGCACCTGTTTGCTGGATTTCATGGTGACTCACTTGTGTTGGATGACACCGACTGGATGGGTGCTTGGGATGGTCTGAAGATGGGGATGGAGGGGGTACTGGTGACATCAGCATTGAAGAAATGTCCAGGTCCAGCTCAGGAGAGGGCTGAGCCTATGGGATTGGAATTGGGGTTCAAGGTGGCTCTTGGTCCAGGCCTGGCCAGAGACCAGCACTGGGTCCCAGCACTCAGAGGGTCCCGGCCAGGACTGCGCACCCCTGAGCTAGCCTTGAACCCATGGCTGGAGGGGCCTGTTGTCCAGAAATAGACCTGGTGCTCCCAGAGTCCTGGGTGGGTGTAGCCTGAAGGGAGGGGAGGGCAGGGAGCCAGGTGGCACTGGAAGTGACCTGGACAGGAGGACTTGCACCTGAGGGAGGACAGACCTAGTGCTGATCTCTGCTCTGTGACCTGAGTAGGAGCTCTCACCCCACCAAGCCTTGAGTTTCCCCACCTAAAACTGGGTGCTTGCTGCTTTATTCACTCATTCATTCTAGATAAATGCTTATGTTCCTGGACTTGAGCTAGGCACTGTGCAGAGAGCAGCAGCCAGACCAACTTTTTGCTTATGGGAAGACAGACAGCTGCCTATATAATACATCACGCAGTCAGTGTGATGGGGAGAGACGAGTCAGGACAGGTGCTAGGAAATGATCACAGGACAACTGTTTTGGACTGTGTGCTCAGGGGAGCCATTTGACTGGTGCCTAAAGGGCTGATCTTTGAGCAGAGACCTGAAAAAAGTGAAGAAGGGAGCTGTGGGAGGGTCTGGAGGAAGGATGTGCAGAAGCGGGGGGAGTGCAAAGGCCCTGAGGCAGCAGAGGCCAGGGTCACGTGAGGATAACCGAGCTTCAGAAGTTGAACTGGAGAAGGCCGGTGCCTGGTGCATGCTGGGGGTTCAGCCCCTGTTTGTGCACCTCTCACCTCACTTCTGTCCAACAGGATGGCAAGTCTGTGGTGGGCTCAGGGCTGAAATGAAATCTTCCTCTTAGCTCTGCTGGACAGAGGTGTTTTTCCTCCTGTGCTAGGTTGAATAGCACCCCGCTCAAACTCATGTCTACCTGGAACTCTGAATAGCGCCTTATTTGGAAATAAGGTCTTGGGGTGCTTGGGAGGCTCAGTTGGTTAATTGTCTACCTTCAGCTCTGGTCATGAACCCGGGGTCCTGGGATCGAGCACCACGTTGGGTTCCCTTCTCGGTGGGAGCCTACTTCTCCCTCTCCCTTTGCCCGCCACTCCCCCTGCTTTCGCGCTCTCCTTTTCTCTGTCAAATAAATGAAATCTTTAAAAAAAGAAAAAGGGAAATAAGGTATTTGCAGATGTGACTTAGTTCAGATGAGGTCCTATTGGATTAGGATGGCCCTAAATCCTGTCTCTGATGTCTTTGATAAGAAGAGGGAGACATATGGAGACACCCACAGGCAGGAAAAGGCCATGTGAGCACAGTGGCAGAGACCGGAGGGGTGTGTCTCCAAGCCAAGAACAGCACAGATGGTGGGCCAGCACCAGAGCCTGGGAGAGGCAGGAAGGGTCTCTCCCAGAACCTCCAGGGAGAGTTTGGCCCTACCAACACCTTTATTTGGAGTTCTGGCCTCTGGAACTGAGAGAATCAGCCTACATTGTTTTAAGCCCCCAGGCTGTGGTCCTTTATCACAGGTGCCCCAGACGGGATGCCCCCTCCACTGGGCTTTCCTGAGCTCGAATATCCCTCTGCTCTTGGACTTCATCCTCCCTGGACTTCTGAGGAAAGGGTGTGTCCACCTCCACCCATGAGTGCTTGTGGCTTTGACCGTGAGCTCTGCCAGGCAGCGCCAAATGCAGCCCCTCCCCCTGCAGCTGCCCCAGACCCACCCATGTCCTGCGCTGTCAGGTGCCGTCAGAACCAAAACTGGGGCTTCACTGGCCAAAGCTTTTTAAAAAATCTTAGAATAAAAAATGACCCCCACATGCCCATTATCCACCTTCAATAATTACCTGTCCATTTCCCACTTTTCTCCCTCTACCTTTTTTTTTTTTGCAGCATTTTAAAACAAATTCTAGGGGTGCCTGAGTGGCTCAGTGGGTTAAAGCCTCTACCTTCAGCTTAGGTCATGATCCCAGGGTCCTGGGATCGAGACCCATATCAGGCCCCCTGCTTAGGAGGGAGCCTGCTTCCCCACCCCCCCCACCTCTCTGCCTACTTGTGATCTCTTCTGTCAAATAAATAAATAAAATCTTAAAAAAAATAAATTCTAGATGCTGAATCCTTTTGTCACCTGTACTTCACTGTGTATCTCTATCTTTAGAGAACATTTCTTTTTTTTTAAACCGTAACAACAGTACTCTTGTCCCCCAAGTACCATTATTCCTTCACTGGCCTGGGCCACTTCAAGTGCTGGGTCCACCGTCCGTTTTCCCCCGTGTGCCTCAAAGACTCCTTTTTATAGTTGACTTGTTTGAAACAGAGTCAGAACAAATCCTGCCCTTTGCTTTTGGGTGATGTGTCCCTGACACTGTTTGAGTCTAAGACCTTTTTTTCATCTGGGACTTCATGCCCATGGAACGCTTTACAGAGTCCACAAAATTATACATGGAGGCCTTCACCCTTAGGGAGAAGCCTGTAGCCAATGGAGTAAGGTCCATCTCTGAAACTTTGATGCACGTTTCAAGTTCTTGATGCAATCAGGAAAACGGTAGCTCAGACGGTGGAATGTCTTCAAGTTGCTCAGTCTTGAGGATTCAGAATAGACGGTGCGGCTAAGTCGCGGCTGCTGGTGAGCTGCCCGCAAAATGTCCTGTCCCTCGTTCAGAGGAGATAAAGCACAGCAAGCTTGGGGTGGGGAGTAAGGGGCATTCAGTCCCTCCTTGCTCCACACTGACATGACCAGTGTCATGTCATGCTTTTTCTCGTGAGCAGCATGAATCACACATCTGATCACATTCCTCTTTTTGCCTTGGCTGCTGGGAAGCTCAAGGCCAAATGCACAGCCCATTTGAAATCATGAAAACAGGACTTGCACACTGATATTTTAACTTTTACTTTGATCCTGATCTTTGGTCCACTCTCTGTCTTCCTCTTTTTGTGTGTTTGTTGTTATGTTTCCTTTCAGTTGTCTGTAGCATGAGCTACTGTGTAATAGATCTGTGACCTGAGGGAGTAGATACATAAAGCAATAAAGTAAAAATCCTTTCAGGAAGTTTCTGTGACTGGTTCTCAGGAGGGACCTCACTAGAGCCCCCAGGGGCACGTAGGTGTGATTGGGACACATGGCATTGGGGAGCTGATGTAGCAAAGGGGACCCCTTGGCCGTGCTGGACCAGAGCTGGCAGGCCACCAGAGGGGCTGCATCCTGACCTGGTGTGTCGTGGAGACCTGGTAGAGTGAGACCAAGAACCCCAAGGCAGGGCCAGGGCTGCTGTCCAGACAGGCACAGTGTAGGATGTCCCCCAGGAAACCAGTGTCCGTGAAACTCCACGGGTGGGATTTCGGGTGGAGGAGAACCTCACTGTTGTGCTGGCTTGGAAACCCAGCCCTTGGCCGAAAGCAGAAAACACCTCCCCCCACCACTGCCACCCCCGCCGCCCTGTGTTCTCTCTGCAGTTTAAGAACCCCTTGATCCTGCTGCTCCTGGCCTCCGCCCTAGTGAGCGTCCTCACGAAGGAGTACGAGGACGCCGTCAGTATCGCCATGGTGAGTGCGGGTGGGTGGGGGCAGGCTCCCAGACCCCACTGCCCAGGGGCTTACAGAGTCTTTGCCCATTTTATTAGGCAAGAAAAAAAGAGTGTGGCTGTAGAGGAAAAACAGGAAATACAGCAGAAAGAAAGGAAAGGAAATCCTCGTGCTTCTCTGTCCCCCCTGTAGAGATGTCCTGGGTCATTTTGCCATCGCTGTGTCGGTGGATACACGGGGGCTCCTAGTTCCTTGCTGTTGGGAACAGTGTTGCAGTGAACCCCTCTTCCGTGACCCTGCTGTGCATGCACTACCCAGAGCCCTCCTTTGTAAGCTGTTCTCCAGACACAACGGCTGAGCACCTTTTAAAAAAGGTTTTCTTAATTAAAACCATAGTTACATAATTAAAAAAATAACCATTTTGAAGGATACAATCCAGTGGCGTTTAGCACATTCCCTTCTAGCTAGAGCTGAAATGCTCCATGGCTGGCAAAGGCAGCTGCCCCCCCATCCCTCTCCACCCCTCCCTGTCCCCGGCATCCCTGGGTCCACTCTCTGTCTCTCTGTCCTCTGAGGCTATTTTATGTAATGGAATCTTACATGATATGACCTTTTCTCTCTGGCTCTTCCTGAATACCTTTTGATGACTGTCATTCTTGCTTCCCTCTGTCTGTCATGGGCTCTTCTAAAATACACAATCAGGCTCCTTCCAAGCAATGGTGTCTGCTCCTCTGTTTAGAAGGCTGCAGCTACGTCCGTACCTTCCGAGGTGGAGTGAGGTTTACCATACAGCGTGTGAAAAGGCAGTTTGTAAAAGAATACGTCTATACCATAGGATCCTGTGTTGTATGTCTATGCGGAAAAATCTAGAATTACCCTAAAATGTGAACCTTTGAATGCCAGAATTTGGGATGATTTTTCTGTTTTTGTTTTGTTTTGTTTTGTTTTTGGTGGGGGGGCTCATCTGTTTTGTAGATTTCCGTGGGCTTAGTTTGCAAGAAGAAAGGAAATTTATTTGGAAGGGTGGGGTGCTGCGCCCTACTGTCCGTGGGCTCACTCACTCACCCAACAGCTGGGGGCTGACGCCGCCCCCCCGTTTGCTCCCTAGGCCGTGCTGATCGTGGTCACCGTCGCCTTCATCCAGGTGTGTAATTAGTTCCCGAGGTCTGGGTCAGGGTAGCCCGGGTGTGACGGTGCGGACCTCCCGCCCTGACTATGGTGTTCGCTGTGCTGCCGCCAGGAGTACAGGTCGGAGAAGTCCCTGGAGGAGCTGACCAAGCTCGTCCCTCCCGAGTGTGACTGGTAAGTCAGGGATTCCCTGGGAATATCTGGTTCATCAGAGCCGGTGCGCTGGTGAATTTGGCAAAAGTTTGGCCAAGTTTGTGTCCCTGGTAGCATGATGGAGGAGGACCATGTCTTTCCAGGGGTTTCCAGGGGTTGGCGTCTGCCCTGCCGGGAGATTCCTTGGTGTCCTTGGGCCTGTCGTTCTACCTCTCTGGGCCTCGAGTCTCTCAGGGTGCCTGGGCCGGGGCCACAGATGGCGGGAATGGCTTTGGGAAGAGGGTGGCCCACGAAACCCATGGTATGGTGTGCAAGGCCGTGCCCAGTTTTCCTGCATTCAGAAGTTGCATAAGATTCTCTGGGAGGGGATGGGAGGGGCTGGCGATGCAGGGCTGCTGGGCTGCGGGGCGAGGTGGTGCAAGGGTGACCTCCAGGCATGTGCCCCGCAGTCCCGCCGGCCTCTTTCCTGCCTGGACGTTTCCACGGCGCCTCCTGTTACCCCACAGCCCTTACCACAGCTGTTTGAAAAGGAGAAAGGAAGGACCAAACCACAGTGCTGTGCACTTGAACTTTCTAGGATGTTCTGTAATCCCCACTGTCCAGTATGGCACCAGTACTCACACAGGACCCTGAGGATTGGGTGTGGCTGGGGCGATGGGGGAAGTGAGTTCTTCTCACTCAGCCTCAGTAGCCCACGGGGGGCTCGTGGCTGCCCTCGTGCACAGCCAGGGCGGAAGGGAAGCCGCCCACACCAAGGGGCCCAACTTCTCCTCCGTGTAATTCCCAGTGTACTTCCCAGGTCATCCACAGGCTCTCCTTAGAGGAATGGACGGATTTCAGAAAAGGTCCACGTCTGCCTCCCCTCCCCTGCCCAGCTCTGCTGAGGTCGGGGGCCACGGGTCTTTCCCACTTAGCCACGTGTTGCTCCAAAGGCAGTAACTGAACGTATCTCATGACCCCAGGGGCTTTGGAAGGGTTGGTAACCGTTTCCTGAAAGGCGATGTTCAGGGAAGAACATATATTTGGATGTAAATGGTACAGCTGTGCCCCACGGCGGGGGATAGAAAGATCTAATGGGATGAGCCCCACCTCTTAAGGAGCCCGCAAGCAAGGGGCACGTGTGTGTGTGTGTGTGTGTGTGTATGTAATACAAGGCAGAGAATAATGACTAACAGAGACAAAAAGAGGACGATGTGGAACCATGAGACAAGCTGAGTCAATTCTGGAAGGTTCGGTGGAGACGCTAAACATGTCTGGGCTCAGTAAGCAGATGAGCGAGGCTGTCAGAAATCCAGACATGGGATGTGTGATGTCAGCGTATGGACAAACGGAAACGTAAATGATTTATGTGATTTGAGGATCCGATCTTAAGTCTAGATATCAAGTCTTGGCCTTTCAAGTGAGTGGTATGCATTATTGATGGCCCCGGGAGTCACTTCTCAAAGATGACTTCAGGGTTAAGGACAGTGGCAGCCGGCAGGCAGCGAGGGCACTGAAGTGAGCCGCGGCCGCCTCGGTGTCTGAGGCCTCTCGGGCGAGCCAGAAGGAATGCCTGCCGCGCGGGCCCCTCCTGGGTGCCCCCCATTGTCTGTGATCTCAGTGCATCTTAGCGAGCACCTACTGTGTGCCAGAAGAAACAGTGTTGGGGTTACGCGGCCAAACAAGAAGGCGAGGGCTTGGCCTTTGGGGCGCTCACGCTCCTCCTAGGGAGGCCAAAGATGAAATGAAAGGAGGACGACCTTGGACTGCGGCAGGGGCACTAAAGGCAAAATGGCCCCCCGAACCCAGAGACAAGGAAAACCTCCCAGAGAGGAAGCAGCACGCGGTGGAAGAGTGGGAGGGGCCCCCGAGAGCAGCTGGTTGTGCTGCGCTGATCGGAGATGTGGGAAGGAGCTGACATTTCGATCGAGACCTGAGGAAGAGGAGGGACCAGCAGGTGAATCTCTGGTGGATGCTCCGGCCATGGGGACAGCTCAGCCACTCAGGCCGGAGAAACTGAGTCGTCTCCCAGCAAGGGATCTCAGGTCAGGGGGCCACATGGCTGGTTAGTTTGCGAAGGCACCGAGGATGGGGTCCTTTGATTTTGTCACTCTGCCACCCGTGGCTTGTTGGCTCTGGACTCTGGCTGCCTCCCTCATGCTCCCTGGACCCGGGCCACAGCTCCAGGCATCAGAGGTAGATGTGAAAACATCCAACAGAAGAAGAGGTCGTGTGTGTGTGTGTGTGTGTGTGTGTTCGTACTCGAGCCCCCAAGAAGTGTCTACTCATGTCCCAAAAACCAGTGCTATGGAACGTGTCTGGGCCCATGCCAGTCATTGGAGGGGATGGGATCTCCCCGATGGTCTCAGTCACTCAGGACCCCCTGCCTAGGACAGACGGCTCTGGGGGAAAGGTGGCTGTCCACACGAGTGAATTGTTGACAAAGGAGAGGGGAATGTCCTCTTCGCTGTCCAAGGTTGGCAGAGACCTTGAGACTAGAAAGCTGGTTGTGTTTGAAAGCAGGTGACCTGAGACGGGGAGCAGCAGGAATGGGGTGGGGAGGTCCCGGTCAAAGCAGCCTTAGCAGGGCTTTCGAGTTTGAGTCCAAGGTCATGGAAAGCAGGAGCAGGAGGGAGTTGTGACCTGATTTTTTGCATTTTAAGAGCTCTCTGGCCACTGGGTAGGGGACGAATTGAAGAGGGCCAGGGGTGGGCAGGAGTCCAGCTGGGGCAGCAGTGTCCCAGGAGGGGAGACTGCCATTGGAACCTGTGCACAGAAGCACATGCCAGGAGTGGGGGGTCATAGCCCGGTGGGAAAGGAGGTTCCAGGCCTCTCGGGTACTTGGTGCTCCTCCCCACTCCAACCCTGGCTCTGCATGGAAGATGGCTCTCTGTGGCCAGAGTGCTGTATTCTCCAAGGACAGAGGCACTGCTGGCTACCGGCTCCATTAAGGAAGCTTTAGAGCTGCTGACCTACACCTCCAGAAGCTTCTAGAGTCCATGTGGTTCTGCCTTGTTTCCAGGCAGAGTAAATAGGAATAGGAGCCCCACTTTTCAGACGAGGCCCAGGGTCTCCCAGAAACAACACGCTTTTCCAAAGGTCTTTTAGGGTATGTGAATTAAAAATATGATAATGGCACAAGGGTTTGTCCATCACTGAAAGAGAAAGTGTGATTCTCTGTTCTTTGCTCAAGTTTCTTAAAAGTGTGCACAAACAGGGGTGCCTGGGTGGCTCAGTGGGTTAAAGCCTCTGCCTTCGGCTCAGGTCATGGTTCCAGGGTCCTGGGATCGAGCCCCACATGGGGCTCTCTGCTCAGCAGGGAGCCTGCTTCCTCCTCTCTCTCTCTGCCTGCCTCTCTGCCTACTTGTGATCTCTGTCTGTCAAATGAATAAATAAAATCTTTAAAAAAAAAAGTGTGCACAAACAGGATGTCATCAGTGTGCTTTTTTGCTTCTTCCCATTTCAAATACAGCATAAGAGAAGGAAAGCTCCAGCATCTGCTTGCACGAGACCTGGTTCCCGGAGACATTGTGTCTCTCTCGATCGGAGACCGGATCCCTGCAGACATCCGTCTCACTGAGGTGAGGGGTCCCGAATCCTGGTCTGTGCTCACACACACACACACACACACACACGTGTGCTCACACACATACATGTACATATGAAGGCATGAGGTCGGCAAGCCAGCTCATTGCAAACACAAAGCCCCTCAAATTGCATCCATAAATTATTTATTCCCATTTCCAGCAAAAACCTAAGAGAGTTTGGTGACGTGAGTCTGTGGCTTACGGCAGGCTGCGGTAGCAAATTAAACCAGGCTGGGGCTGAGGAATGGGGCAAGAGTTGTTTCTGGAAACAGCGACTCTGATGTCAGATTGCTGAATGACGAGCAGGGGAGCGTATCGGGGAAGATCTAACTCGTAGCCCAAGCTTTTACAGTTGTGTGGTTTGGGGACATCAGGCGGGGGGGTGGCAAGCTGTTTCCCTGACCTTTGTGGGTGTTCTGGTGTCACCAGGTCACAGTCCCGGAGATAATCTTGGATTCTCGGGGAAAGGTTAAGTCCAAGTCAGAGGGATCTGTGGATGGGGTAATCTATTTTAGGAATCCTTCCAAGAATACTGAAGAGTTGCTTAAACCTCTCAGTGATAAAGGATTAGGCACAGGCTATCTCCCCGATGTCGTTCTTTCCGGAGGATGTGTTTCCAGGAACTGTAGGATCACTGGCAAGCTAAGAAAATGTCGTGGAGGGGCGGGTGGGGAAGAGCAAAGAGAGACTCCGTTTGAAAGCCCTCTGCCCGACTCTCGGATTCCCCCAGCAGACTGGGCTGCTCGCTCTTAGGCTCATGCCACTACCCCTGCCCGCAGCAGAACGGATTCCTCACCGTCTGCTACCCACCCCCCACACCCCTGCACAAGCATCTGACTCCAAGTCCAGGGCATGTGGGTCCCCTTAGAGGAGCCAGGCCCCGCCCACGAGGAAGTCTGACATCATCTGTTCACAGAGCAGTGGGCTCTGCCTCCCGATGCAAGGATTCCCCAGCTTCAGGGTGCGTTCCGGGGGTTGGGTAGCTGGTCTGGAGGACATGTGCCTGACAAGGTGCTACCCAGAGTCCGTGCCTCAAAGTCGTTGGTGCCCTGGGGCAGGGCATTGGCCCGAGTTTGAACCGAGGACCCGCCCTTCACAAGCTGGGTGACCTGGAGCACGTTACTTAACTTCTCTGTGCCCCTGTGTCCCTGCCTGTAAGATGGGGGGTGATGAGGCCTGTAGGATGACTGTTACAGGACGTCATAGATAGAGATGGCCCAGAGCAGTGCCTGACGCAGGGGAGTGACAGGCGCGTGCTAGAAATCAGGGCACCCTGGGTTTCACATCCCTGCGCTGCACTGTCCAGCATATGACTTTGGGGAAGCATTGGGCGCTCTGGCCTTAGTTTCCTTATCTGTGAAAGGGGCTAGTGTTCATTCTACCTTGAGTAGGTAAGAACCCGTAACACACTCGGCCCCATGCCCGGTGTGACGTAAGCAGTCACTGCGTCTCAGCGGTGGCTCCCCTGCACCCCTTCCCCGGCTCTCCAGCAGTCCCCGAAACAGCTTTAACCCCCAAGCAACTTTCTCTTTCAATGAGTTTTCTTCCTGCCCCGCTTATGTTAAATTCTTTTGTGCCCACTGTCCACAGCACAGGGTGCTTTCCGTCCTCACTGCCAGGCACAAACACTACAGAGCTCCCTTTTGGTATTTTGCAACTGCCCCGAACAATCAATAGCTTTGTTTATTCACAGTGGGATACTTGTGTCAGCTGTTTCACTCTGAGACCTAGGAAAGCTTTTTTAAGTCCAGGAAACAGCAGGTTCCGGAACATTTGTAAAATAAGTCACCCAAATACTAGCGCTTTTTGCATTGTGCATGGGGGTCAGCAAACATTTTCTCTCCCCATAGTTAACGAAGGTCAAGGCCTAGCGGGTAGGCTGACCTGGTCTAGCCAGTGGAGCAGGGACACTGCTCCTCCTTCTTCCTCTCCCACTTCTGGCTGAAAAGGGTATTGAATGGGATCTGTCAGGGCTCCAAGTAATGCTTTGTCTCCAAGGTGGGAGGCTGGCTGGGTGTGGGGGGATGGGAGGAGTCTTGCCTGTGTATGAGCAGGAAGTGATCAGAGTCCTCAGTTGGGTTCAGGCCCAGCCTCCTCTGGGTGCCCACTGGTATCGTGTGGGTACTGTGCTTTGACTGGTTGCCCCCTCAGCTGACCTGGTGCCTGGGAGGTCACCAGAAGCTACACACACACACACACACACACACACACACACACACACAACCAGCTTTGTTCCTTCTTGGTCCAGACACTCCCCCTTACTCCCTGCCTCTCTCTTTCTCTCTTCTGGAGAGAACTAATGTGTATATAGAAATACATAGTCAGGTCTGTGCTCACCACTGGGTAGCAACTGCCTCCTTCCATCCCCCACAACCTTAAGGGAACAGCACTCATTTTTCTGACTTGAGCACAAGAACACAGAACCCCGGAGAGACTGAGCAGCCCACCTGAGCTCATGCGGACGTGAGTGGGGGAGGAGGATTTGAACTCAGGTCCTTGGGCTGCAGAGCCCACATCTGTCACCGCCCGCAGTGGGCGCTCTCTTGCTGCGATCAGCTGTTCTGACTTCCTTTAGCTCTCTGGCTCTCCCTCTGGGTTTCCTCCCTGTATCCGTTCCCTAAGGCAACTGGAACAAGTGACCACATACAGAGTGGCGTAAGACAACGCCGATGGATCCTCTTACAGTTCTGGGGGTCAGAATGAAGATCAGTGTCACTGGGTGGGAAAACAAAATCAAGGTGTTGGAATTTAAAAACAGAACAAATGAACCCGAGGAAGAGTCAAAGCTCATGTCTTGGCTCGGAAGGTCGGGGTGTCGACTAAGCCTTGTGCTATAAGATTCCCGCCAATCCCAAATTGACTTTAATGAAATATATTCAGAATTAAATATGCTTAGTTGACAGATGTTCTCTAGACCAGATTAGGCTCCGAGTCTTCGTGACCACGAAGCGTGACCTGCTTCCACGCGCCTACTTAGTTCCGCTTACTGCCGTTCTCCTGTCCCTCCCGGCTGGCTCTTCCGCCCACGCCCACCACCAGCTCTCATCCAGAGCCTTCCTCTGTCTCACTTGGGCTGTGTTTCTTGGACTGTAGGCTTCCCATCCCAGTGCAGCTGGCTACGTCTTCCAACGTCTGACTTGATTTTATGATCTCCCCCACTTCTCTTCTCTGATCAAGACTTTTTCTGGATCCTCATTACTTATAAGGTACTATCCAAACTTCATAACCAATCTCCAATGTAACTGAGTTCAGCCACACCTTCCACAGTTGTTCTGCTCCATGTGGACCAAACCTCCTGTCTTCTTGCCTGTCACCCCTCCATTCAGTGCTGCTCAGGGTCAGGAACAGCTCTCCAGCCCCGCCATGGCTTCAGCACCGGGGACAGCACCCACCACACGCCCCCTCCCCACCCTAAGAATCCGTACCCCAAAGAGGGTGCCTTGGTGCCCATGCTCAGCACTCTGGGCTGCTGTCCCGTTAATGCTGGAGGGGTACTGGGAGGAGAGAGGACTTTTCTTTACCTCCCCCTCCTCTTAGTTGCTTTTACCGAGCGGGTTATTACCAAGTTCAGGCATCACCAGTCCCCCTCCCTGCCTTCTTTTCCTTCCCTGCCTGATTCACTCAGCAAATGTCTGCTCATCCTTCAAGACCCGTTTCAAGTCCCCAATTCCCCAGGAACTCTCCTCCTCCAGTTCATCTCCGCAGCCCAAGTGCTCCACCTTTCCATTCCCCACTCCCCAGTCTTCTGCAGCAGACCAGGTCTGGCGGGAACATCAGACTGGAGTAATTACAGCTCCAGGACTTGGTCAGTGAAGGGCTTCCCTTCCCAGTGTTTTCATTATTACCATTTTGACTACAGGATTACTTCAAGGTGAACAAACGAAGTTAGGTACAAATTCGATGTGCTTCAAACTTGATGCAACTGTAAACCTAAGCCAGATTTTCCAAGTACATGCAATTTATTCAAATTATCCTCATGTCCCATTAGACAGTGTTTTCTGGAAACTCAGTCCCTGCTCGCCAGGGTTGTGGTGCCGATTTCTGCCGCCTGCTCTGCTCTCTGTGGCGTCGGCAGGTGGTGGTGCTGGGTGACTGCGTCTTCCCATTTCTTCCTTCATTGTGTCCTCTGCCTTGCCCTTGATGTCCTGGAGATAAAAAAGCACAAACTCCAGATCAGTTGGTAGTTGTGTTTGCGGTGAACAGAGTAAGAGAAATAGATAGGTTTCAGTGGGCCAGGGATTTACGCCTCTCTTGTAATGAGAGACCGGAAGTGGAGTGTCCAAAGCTGATAGGGCGGCTCTGCCGTGGCACAAAGGGCGGGGCTTCTCCCAGCCCCCTCACTCTGCCCCCCCCATACTTGTAACACGGCTTCTGGAGCCACTATAATGAAAGCCCAGAGAGGGAGGAGGAGGAAGCTAGAAGGGGAAGAGGGCCTGTCAGCTCAGCCACCGTCACAGATCCTACCCAGGACTGTCGGTGACTTCTCCTTATGTCCTGTTGTCCTGAAGGCAGGGACACTGAGTTGCAAGGAAGACTGGGAAGTGACATTGGTGGTGGGAGGGGCACGTAGCCATCCCCAACCCCCATACCATTCCCACTGGGGGTTCTGTTAGGAGAGGGGTACGTGCATCACATAGGTAATGGGTGGCCCTTGTCATCCTTGGGGCTGGGATCCCATGGCGGTGTGCGTTTTTGTAAAAGGTGGTCATGAAATTTTTAAATTTGCAAGCGTAGAGAACTCAGCAGCCCCTGTTTGAATAGTGCCAATCTCACTGCTGTCTTGTGAGTGTGTAGGAAGACGGCTTCTCTGAGTTGGTCTTCTATGCCGAAATAACAAGGTCCTTAGGGGAAGAGCTTACCCCGGACCCCTTATATGTCCTCCTTCGTACCTGGCACAATTTGGCTACAGGGGACTCACGTCTTGAGTGATACTTACTGGGTCTGTGTCATTTCTGCCAAATGGTTAAGAGCAAAGTTTCTGGGACCAGAGCCTTGGTTCATGCTTCTGCTCTGAGGTAGCTGTAGAACCTCAAACAAGGTACTCAAACAAGTTACTTAATTACTCCATGCCTCAGTTTCCCCACATGTAAAATGGAGAAACCAACAGCATCTTTCATGGAGGGTGTGGAGACTAAGAGATAGGCCTTGTGAAGTGCTTGGCACAGGGCCTAGCACATCAGAGGAGTTGTGGAATTGTGAGTACCTCCCTCCTCCTCTGCTGGTGTGCGTGTGTGTGTGTGTGTGTATGTGTGTGCGTGCACGCATGTGTGCTGTGCCCATGTGTGGTGTCTGGTGTTAATGTAACCTTAGGCTGTCATCGAATAACCTGGCTCAAAGCACATGGCTTATGTGGGGGTCTCTGCGGAGGGCAGGAGAAAGGCACAGGTGCTTTGAAAGGTATATTCCAAGTTAACCGTTGCCTAAGATTTTTTCTAACGTTGCACATTACATGAAAACCTTAACTAATATTACAGAAGGTATGAGACATATTTTTCAAGAGGGGCTACACAATTCAAAGCTTGTTCAGTTCCTTGAGGCCTCTGAGGCCATGTTCTGATCCTGGTTCCCTGATTTTGACGTGTGCTTTGCTTGCTGTCTGTTGCGTCATGGCATGATGGGGCCAGGTGCCGTCCTGTGCTTTTCCGGTCAAGGTTTTGTTTCTGTTTTTTTGGTCTTTTTTTTTTAGTTGTGGCAACATTTAAAAAAAAAAAAAATTCGTTACATTCCAAAATGAGATTTGTATTTCTTAGTGGCAGAAAATCCTCATGACTTCATGGGCCGTGACTTCATGGCCAAGGTGGACGAGGGCAGTCTGGTTTACTTTCCAAACCAGACATCAGAGCCAGCGTCTCTGGAAGACCCTGGTTCGGGAAAGGCAAGAGCATCTGTGCCTGAGTAGCCGGGGACCAGCAGCTCCAGCCGTCTCCAGAGGCATCTCTGGGACCACCCGTTAGACACGGTCAATGCCAGATCAGTCATCCTGATCCATGGGCAAGATGACAGTGATTTCTCGGAACCTGAAGACACGTTCAAATTTAAACATAGACACAAGTTTTCTTCAATGCACCTAAGACAGATGCCTGAAGTTCCTGAATTCTGTGTCAGACTCAGGTGCCCCTCATTCGAGGTTTTAGAAACGACCCTCAGTATCAGGGATGGTCCCCAGGAATCTACTTTGTTCAGGAAAGACTTCATTTGAATATCCTGCCAGGTCAGTGCAGGTAACCCAGGTAAAAAGTCCTTTACCACCCAACTCCAGGTCCTAGCGGAGGGACGTTTTCTGCCTAGAGATGCCTGCCTGCTATGTAGGGACCAGTGGTCGGACCTCATTCTGGGCAGTCAGGGGCACTCTGTTTTACACACAGGAAGTTTTTCCCAATTGAGAAGTTTTACAAGGTAAGGGTGGTCCATTCTGTGCTTTTAAAACCCGTTCTTGGGGTGAAGGGACAGACTCCTTCATCTTTTCCCCTTCTAGGTCACAGATCTCCTGGTAGATGAGTCCAGCTTCACGGGAGAAGCCGAGCTGTGCAGTAAGACGGACAGCCCGCTGGCCAGCGGGGGGGACCTCACCACTCTGAGCAACATCGTCTTCATGGGGACCCTGGTGCAGTACGGGAAGGGGCAGGTAAGCCCCAGGGACCTTGGCCGCCCTCACCAGTGGGCTTCCGGCTTCAGACCTCACGTACCTCTCTCCTGAATGCAGGGAGTCGTGATTGGAACAGGGGAAAGGTCCCAGTTCGGAGAAGTGTTCAAGATGATGCAGGCTGAAGAGGTAAGGGCCAGTGGGGGCTTTGGTTTTCTGCTAGGCTGGGGTTTGCGATTCCTCTCGGCTACTGACCCTGGCCCTGCCCCCTCCTTAGCAACGAGAATGATGTGGTTAATGTGAGTTCACCCTTTTCATACCTTTAAAAATTTATTTTTACTGCACAACATTTATTAGGATTTTGCTGTCAAGATTAAACTTACAGACAGGAACATGCACAGTCCTCAAGTGTAGAGATCAGCGAGTTTTTATATGCATGCCCCCTGGGGGCTCGTCACTCCACTCGAGATATAAGAACACCAGGCAGAAGCCGAGGGGCGCTCCTGGGATTTCATCTCACAAACCCATGGTTCTCATCCTTTCAGACGCCTAAAACCCCACTACAGAAAAGCATGGACAAGCTGGGGAAGCAGCTGACACTTTTCTCATTTGCCATCATTGGTGAGTGAGGCATCTGCACTGGGTCCAGGGGACGGAGGGGAGCTGTCCTGAGTGGGCATGGCCGTTTCTCAGACACCTGCTGCTGACGTGGGTGAGGACCGAGGGATGGGACCAGAGACTCTGATAGTGCCAAGAGGTTTCTATCTCAGCCCCGGCTAACCGTGCCGCGCAGCCCGACACTGTAATGGCTTCCCTGGTCAAGGCGTATTTCTTGCTCACACCACAGTCCGCGGGCACGTTCCTGATGGATTGGCTTTCTGGGTAGGTCCCCTCCAATCACCAACTGGGGGTCCCGGGCCCCGCCCATAGGATGGCTCATCCCTCCCTCCTGGTCCTTAGAGGCTGGCTGCTCTCCCTACTTGTTCGTCCAGCAGGTGGGCAAAGCCCGAGCAGAGGCTGGTGTGGGAAACGTTTAAGGCATGAGGTCATCACCTTGGCCTGTTGCCCATTCTTGATTGGCCAGAATGGAGTCACGTGGCCTATGTAACCGCAGAGGAGGCTGGGAGGTGTGGTTTAGCAGTGCACCAGCCGTATTCCTAGGCTACTGAGCAGTCTGCCTGGGCTTGTGCCCCTTGGCCTTTAGCAACACAGCAGGCAGCACCAACATGATGCTGCTGACCTAACTGTGGGTCTCAAGCCTGAATATCCCCATGGGGCCGCCCCGGCCCCTTCACCGGCTGCTTCCTCCTATCTCCTGCTCTGGCTTTGATTCTGTGGTCTTCATTCCCAGCTTTAAGAATCCACGGGTCCGGGCGCCTGGGTGGCTCAGTGGGTTAAGCTGCTGCCTTCAGCTCAGGTCATGATCTCAGGGTCCTGGGATCGAGTCCCGCATCGGGCTCTCTGCTCAGCAAGGAGCCTGCTTCCCTCTCTCTCTCTCTCTCTGCCTGCCTCTCCATCTACTTGTGATCTCTCTGTCAAATAAATAAATAAAATCTTTAAAAAAAAAAAAAAAAAGAATCCACGGGTCCTGGCCCAGGGCTCATTCTCAATCAACACTTGTTGAGTGGATGGGTTCATAAAGGAACCCACAAACCATGGCCCGTGGCACAGGCAGTGATGAGAGATGGGACCAGTGAGTATCCCTAAAACTGTGGAGCCAGAGAAAGCTCGTGGGAGAAACAGCCGTCCCTCCAAGCACTTCTGTTGTGCCTCCCAGATGCATGAACTCAACGATTGAGTGTCGTGTGACATGCTGGTCACTGGGATACGGTCGGGGGCTACAAAGTTGGATCAGATACAGCTTCTGCCCTCTGAAGGACCCCAGGCCAGTAAGACAGAGACATGTGAACAAACATGACACTCAAGTCAATCTTGAGTAGAGGAGTTGGAAGGTTCTGAGGGAAATGAGACATTAAACGGGGTCTTGCAGGCTATGTAGGAGTTTGCCAAATGAAAAAAGAGGGAACCAAGCATTCCAGGCAGAGCACAGGGTATGATCAAAGGCATGGAGGGGAACTGCACTTCTCTGCAACCTCTCAGAGGTAGGAAATGTAGCAGAGAGGCTGAGAGGAGGTCATCTGGGGTCAGAGCTTTCAATTCTGTCATGCTGGGGACAGACCTGCTCGCCCTTTCTTCCTTGGGCACCCCTTCACAAAATTCCAGCATCTCGTCGCCTCTCCAGATTGCAGATTTGGATTTAAGTGCTCGAGTTGGCTAAATCACTAGCTTCACTGTTTTGAGGTAGCTCTCTGCCTTCTTCCCTCCTTCCCACCCTGTTTTGTCCTGGAGTCGTAATGGAAGACGGGTTTTATCTTCACCTGCCAAGTCCCATCTCTACTAGTGGGGGTCTGAGCTGTGACTGCCTTTTGAAGCCATGCTTCTCTTTGGTTGCAAGGAGGACTGACAGATTCGTGATGGCTGTCATGGACACAAGTGGGGAAAGAGACCTGTGCATTGCCTTTCACTGGCCATCCTTGGGGCTGCATATTGGCCAGGCGTCTTTGGGCAAGTAGAAGGTCCACGCGGTCCTGGCTGCCTGGAGGACCACCTCCCGGAGGCCTCTTTTACTCTCTAGTATGAGAGTAAATTGACCAAATTGAGTTTGCCACCTGATTTTGTATGGCCCACAAGCCAAGAGTATTCTTTTTCTTTTTCTTTTTTTTTTTTTAAAGATTTTATTTGTTTCTTTGAGAGAGAGTGCACATGAGCAGAGGGAGGGGCAGAGGGAGAGGGAGAAGCAGGCTCCCCACTGAACAGGGAGCCAGATGCGGGGCTCGATCCCAGGACCCCGGGATCATGACCTGAGCCGAAGGCAGATGCTTCACTGAGCCCCCCAGGTGCCCTTAACAGATACTTTAAGAGCTGTTCCAGGAGGGTGGGTGTTTTGGAACGGGGTTCCGTCGATCCCTGCAGGGCCCACGGGGGAGACGCAGGGGAGACGTGGCGGGCTGGTCCGTGCTTGAGAACCAGCTTTCCCGGGAGAGGAACGTTTGCCAGGCTCCCTGCTGTTAAATACCCTCCACAGGGCCACTTTCCAGCTGCCCGTGGACTAAAGTCACAGAGTATGAGTTTGGGAAGCGATGCGCTGCACCAGCCCTTAGGGGCCCTGTGGGCAGGGTCGGTACCCGCCCCTGTTTCTGATAGAGTTGCCCCTCCAGTCTCTACATCTGGATTCACTGGGGTTCCAGCCGACATTTCATCTGCCTACCGCCGCTAACTGCTGCACATAAAAACGGTAGCTAACAAATCAGATCTTGTCACACCCCCCAACACGCACACCCCCTACACACGTGCACACACCACTGCCACCCAGCGTGCAGGCTGCCCTGGCTCCCTGTTCCCTCCCCGACATGAAGCTGCCATTAGTCGGCAGGTCCTCTGAGGACCACCTTCCCACCTCCTCCCACCCCTCCCACCCAGTCGTAGCTGTGGGTTGGGAGCAGTGCTAAGCCTTCCAGAGGATGGTTGCCTCTTAAATCCTGAAACAGCTCCTCCAGGAACATATGGGCCCTATCCCCACCTGACAGATATGGAAACTTTCCCCCATTGCCGGAATGGCCTGCATGTTTTCCTGGGTCCCAGTATGACTCCCAGCCCTTCTCTGACCCAAGGGTCCCTCTCTGGCAGGGTCTGCGTGTCCTGGGCCTGGCACTGTGCCTGCTGTTAGGAACCACTGGGTAAATGATGAGGGGGGAAAGGGAAAAGGGAATTTGTTTAATGGTGAACACGGCAGGACACAGCCCTGTAAGCCCCAGGCCCATCTGCCACATCCCACAGCATGGGGGGTGTCCCCGCTCATGGGGCACCCGGGGAGAGTGGGGGAGTCCCCTGTAAACATTTGCAAACAGCCCGAGAGGAACTAACCGGTGGACGGCTGATCGTTTCCTTCGTGAACTTAACCTGGCTTGGTCCGTGCCTAAAAAAGCGGAAGGATTCTTTTTGGCGGAGGGGCTGGTCTGGAAGAGAAACAGGAGGGTGGGCCTGATACTGAAGGTTCTCACTTGTCTGTGCACACATTCCCGGAACTCTTCTCAGGGACGGCGTCTGAAACACAGTTGCGTGTCTGAGGATACACACACAGGTGCGTGTGCGCATGTGTGTGCGAGGGTACGCGTGCTCACACAGACTTCTTGTCTCTTCCCCAGGCTTGATCATGCTCACCGGCTGGCTGCAGGGCAAGCAGCTCCTCAGCATGTTCACGATCGGGGTCAGGTAAGGGCGCTGCTCCGACCTGCTCTCGCCAGGGCGGCGGGGAAGGTGGGCAGGCGGGGGAGCGGGACCCCGGCCCTGGGTTCGTTGGGAGCCAAATCAGTGTGCGGGCTGGTGGGGAAAGTACGTGCGAATGGGTCAAGTGAACGTTGATCGAATCACAACTCAGTCAAGGCTACGAAGGAAGCAACTGCAGAGAAAGCGAAAGGGAGGTGGGAAGAGCCCTGTCCCGGGAAGGTGGCCACGGAGGGTGCTCCGAGCGGCGGGAGCGGAGACGAGGCGGAGCCCGCGGGAGAAGGCGGGAAGGGGGTTCAGCCGGGAGCGTCCCACCATGGCGGGCGGTGGGACTGAGCTGTGCGCGTCTGGGGACACCAGGAGGGACTGGTTGGGCTCCAGGAGCACAACCACACAGCGGAGTCCGCTAGGGGACACACGGCAAGCCGGTGAGGGCCCCTTTCCTCCTGACCAGAGCCCTCCAGACGGCATGCTGGACCGTCGCTCCTATTCTCTTGGAAATGCGTTGTCCGTTCTTGACGTAGACCCAGGAGCTGACAGGGCTGTGAGCCCTAGCCGGCTGCAGCCCACAGAGGGCTCAGGGGGCGTGGGCAGCTGGCTGCGCGGTGGGGTGTGGGGTTCGAGGCCAGGACAGGCCTCCTGGAAGAGTGGGTCGTTGTAGATGAGCCGTCCCGGACATCAGCCGGAGGACGGAAGGGTCCTGGGGGACGCTTGTTTAGGAGCAGTCGCCGGTGCCCCGCCTTGGCGGGTCTGGGGCGGGCACTGACGCTCTGCATTCCGGACAAGCTCCCTGGGGTGCTGTTGCCGCTCTAAGTGGTGACCCAGCTGGGGCTCCCCCAAGAGGCAGGGCCAGGGAAGAAGGCTGAGCCCCTGGCGGGAGTGCTCAGGTGACTTAACCTTCAGAGGCAGGTGTGGTGGCGGAGGGACAGAGGAGCCTGAGCCCTTGGGGGGGAGGGTGGGGGGTTGACTCCCAGAATAAGAGCACTCGGAAGCCATGACACCTAAGAACCTCCCCCAAATAACGGCGCATTCCGTCCCCATCTTAGAAACTGTGGAAACTTCTATGAGTCAAGACAACTATTCAGTATTTCCAAGTGAATAACAGAAAAGGCCTCCATGTCCATCCCTGCCCGCCCTCCCCAGGGCCATTTGCTGGTCCCTCCTGGTTCCTGGTCTCCGAGCCCCGCCCCCTCACTTCTCCCACTAGATCCGTGGTGTGCTGGCCATTCAGAGGAAATTTCCTCTGTCCGTTTCCCTTGTGACTTCGAAAAGATGAGGATTCTTAGTGTCATCAGCTGCTCAAAGTCCCTGGGTCAGAAGGTAGAAACAGCTGGAGAGCTAGTGAGGAAGAGATTCTCGAAAAGAAGTAACACGAGAATTGTTCTTTTAAACACTTTATCCTAATTCTCCCTGCCTCAGGTGACATCCAAGATGATCCAAAGTATACTCGCTTTTCCGGGTCCGTGCTAATCTTTATTAGTTTGTGGATTAATTTTTTATTATTATGCAAGCATCCAAGTACATGCAGAAAGGCCCTGCCCACACCATATGGGGGGAAGGTCCTCGTCCCAGCCCTCTGCAAATGTTTGCTCAGCTAGTCTTGTCAGCCTGGGCCATAAAACCTAGGAAGCCTTCTTGCTGTCCCCATAGAAACTGGGCAGTCCCTTGACCAAATTCAGTAACGTTGGTTCATATAACTTGCCCTTGAATGCTCCGTTGTTTCCGGAGAAGAGGGCCACCGTTCATATACCGTTTCTTTGATTCTAAGATGCGCTTTCTTTTTTCATGCTTTAACGTCTCCGAGGTCAGACTGCTTCTTACAGGCGAGCAGATAAGAGCACCGTGTGCTTAATTAAGTGGCAGCATTTTGTACTTTCTGGGCGGCGCACAGATAATCGTGCCCTTGACTGTCCGCCATGTCTTAGCTTTGATGAAGTAGGGCAGCCACGTGGGACGCGGCCAGGCTTTCTGACGCTGAAGCAAGCCCGTGGAGCGCTCGCTGTGCACGGACGGGGCCGTCGCGGCTCCAGCCGCTCGCCGGACGTGCGCAGGCCTCTCCCGTGTTTTTGTGCTTTGCAGATCTTGCATTTTTCACATCAAGCTCTGTAGCACGCCTGTGTTGAGCACATCCACTGGGCCATTTTCCCCAAGAGAATTAGGTCATTTCACATCTCTGTGTCGTATTTTGGTAACTCTTGTAATATCTGAAAGTTTCTCATTGTTATTATTTTTTATGGTGACCTGTGATCAGTGACAGGGTGTACTGACAGCCCGGGTGATCATCAGCATTTTTTAGCAACAAAGTATTTCTAAATTAAATAACACACGTTGGGTTTTTAGACACGGCGGTCTTGCACACTTGATAGAGGGCAGTACCGTGTAAACATAACACTTACGTGCACTGGGGACCAAAAGGTTCGTTTACTTGCTTTATTGGGATGGTCGCTTTATGGCAGGGGCTGGAACTGAACCTGTGGAACTGGGGGTGTGCCTCAATTCACCCCTCCCTGTCTGTTTGTCCAGCAAATATTTGCTGAGTGCCTACCGGGCTTTGCTGGATGTCCTGGTGCAGAAGGTGAGCTGTGGTGGGGTGTGGCTGGCGACGCTCCCCCATGGCTCTGCCCTGAGGCACCAAACCTCTCCAGTCTGGCCCCAAAACTCTTCTGCCTCCCCCACTGGCCCGAAGTCAGTCGGGAGCCCCACACCAGCCCTTTGCCTCATCCACGCCTGCGGGTGTGGAATGGGGAACCAGTCTTCCATGAAGTTCTGGAACCAGATTTGAGGCAAAAAGAACCCCTCCTTAATGTCCCATCATCTGTTGACACACTGCCCACGAGAAGGGAGCCACACTCTACCCCAATTCAAATTCCCGAGAGAGAATCTCACTGGTCCAGCTGAGGTCATGTGTTCTCTTCTGATGCAATCAGCCTTGGCAATGGGAGGGTGTGGTCCCACGGTACAGAAAGAGTTGGAGGATAATAATGAAATGAACAGGCACCCAAACAGCTTTGCTACAATAGTCAAAGGCACAGCTTTGTCACCACCTCCTTCAACCTTGATTTCCTTGTCTGGCTCCCTTACCAGGAAGTGTCCAAACAATAGACCAGTGAAAAGTGAAATTCAGGGGACTCAGAGGATCCTCTGAACCAAAAAATTCCACTTCCCACTTACTAATTCTGGAAATTCCTTTCAAAGGATCCAAAGACCTTTTTCTTTAATAAATGACAGTAATTTAAGTGCACAAGTGCTTAAAGGGGCAAAACAACCGAGAGGCTAATTTATGCTAAAGTGTGGATGTCTGATAGGGGAGGCCCGTTCCCAGGAGCAGGTTTTGCCACAGGAGAACTCAGAGCCATGGATGCCGGAGGAGACAGGTGCATCATGGAATTGGGAACAGAGACTAGATGGGGACACTGGGGACATGAGAGACATGCCTCACTGGGTCAAACTGTTGGCGACCCCAGCTGGGATTCATGTCATCCTTCAGTGCTCATGTTAAAGGTGACCCGTCTGGCCTTTTGATCCAGCCTGGCTGTGGCTGCCATTCCCGAGGGTCTGCCCATCGTCGTCACGGTTACGCTGGTCCTGGGAGTGCTGCGGATGGCCAAGAAGCGTGTCATTGTGAAGAAGTTACCCATCGTGGAGACCCTGGGTGAGGGACTCTGCTGGTTGGGATCTTGTATATGGGATGGAAGGGGTGGCGGTTCGGCCCCGGTGTTTGACCTGGGGTTGTCTCGCGCTAGGTTGCTGCAATGTCATCTGTTCGGATAAGACGGGGACTCTGACCGCCAATGAGATGACCGTCACCCAGCTGGTGACATCCGATGGGCTCCATGCTGAGGTGAGCCCTGGGCCCCCGTGCACGGTGCCAGACAGACCTTTTCCTTCCTAAAAGTACACGGAACCTTCCAGGAAGCAACAAGGAAGAAACAAAAATGAGTTACTGTACGGTTTCCTTGCTACCAACAGCAGCAAGGACTATGACCGAGTGAGTTAAGGGAGCCAACTTTATTTTTGGCCATTGTCTTGTAATAATAAGCTCATTACGTACTGCAGAAGCAAAGAAACAGTTGCCCGTAACCGCCTGTGATAAATGAACCATGATGGTCCCTTTTGGGTTTTTCCAGTCTCTCCAGTGACATCTTGCAGGCCAGCGCCTGTTTTTGTAAACAGAGTTTGGCTGGCTGGATGCCACGCCCTTCGGTTTACCTGTGGTCCGTCCTGGCTCCCTTGGTGCCCCCCCCCCACCCCCGTCACAGGGCCGCATGTTCATGTCAGATCTCGGGGGCTGCAAAGGCTTATGTATCCGCCCTCTGGCTGCCTGAGGGCAGGTTTGCCGCCCTCTGTTGGTGCACGTGCCGGGACATCTTCATGCTTGACCTCTTGTTCGTGCATAGGATCCTGTCCCTGGGGTGGGTCCCCCAGGAGAGAGATGATGGGACAACTGGGGGGGGGGGAGTGTCTTACCACACATGGTGACATCGTCCCTGTGGCCTCACCCTGCAGGTCAGCGGAGTTGGGTATAACGGCGACGGCACCGTCTATCTCTTACCCTCAAAGGAAGTCCTGAAGCGGTTCAGCAACGTCTCGGTGGGGAGGTTAGTGGAGGTGAGCATCAAGGAGCCCCGTGGCGGTAACACACCTTAAATAGGAGTGGATGGGATTCGCTCCGATGAGAGGGCCAGTTGGGTCTGGCGACACCGGGGCCACACTCCAGGGGACAGGTGTCCCAGGAACACAGGAAGCCCGTGTGTTACCATCCTAGATGGACTTAAGTGATATTAAAGATTCATACGTGAGAAAAAAAGAGATTCCATTCAGTTCGGAGCAGAAATGGATGGCAGCACCCAGGAACAGGTGAAGACATGAGGGGAGTGGCGAGCTAGGGCCTCTGTCCTCCTCCCCGCCTGCTGGGGCTTCCCCGAGACGCCTGCCTGGAGAAGGTGCTCACCCAATGTGCGACAGCAAGCCTGGTCTCGTCACTCATCAGAACCGTATCACCCGCCCTCGTGCCGCCTGCATGCCGGGTGTCCCTCCGAGGCCCGAATCCAGACGTGGTCTCGGGCTCGTAGAAGTGATGAGAGCGCCCGGGGTCACCCGCGGTGAGGGAGGGAGCTGGGATCCACCCTTCATGTTCTCTTTGTGTTTATTTCCTTTTTTTTTTTTTTAATTATAATTTCTAGTTGAAACATCAAGTTCTGCAGCACAGAATTCACCCCCTTGAAGTGTAGGGGTCAGTGGTTTTAGTCCCTTCTCGAAGTTTGCAGCCACTGCTGCGTCTAATTTCAGGACACTTCGTCACCCCCCGCGGACACCCGTACCCGTCCGCCTCCCCGCCCCCGTGATACTGCCTTATGAGGGCTTCGTGACGACCAGCCCCCAGCGTTCAGTGAAGATTGACAGTGGAAGGGTGGGGACTCTGATGTATTTTGAAGAGTAAACCCTGTCCCTTGCCCCCAGGTCAGCCCTGCCCCCAAAATGGGTCCAGCCTTCAGCGTGTGACTGAGCCCAGGACCCCAAGGGGTGCCAGTTCCCAATCTGAACTACAGACATTCAGAAAACCCCTCCTTTCAGGCAGGCTGTGTGGCCAACAACGCCGTCATCAGAAAGAACGCCGTGATGGGGCAGCCCACGGAAGGCGCACTGATCGCGCTGGCCATGAAGGTAGGGACCTCTGACAGTCTGCGCCGGGAGTTCTTGCACTTGGGGCTGACTTAGAGAATTCGAGCTCATGTCTGAGCAGATGAAGAATGGGGAAGCTTAGTAGTAACAGGAGAGAGTGACCCCAAACATCCTCAGGCAGTCACTGACATGCCACGTGGCTCTGGGACATTCTCTGGGCCACCCTTCCTGGCAATCCCTGTGCCCCATGGCTCAGACGCCAGGAAGGTGCTGGGGGGACAGATAGAGGAGGGCAAGCCACCTCGTGGGCCCCAAGCCCCCCTTCAGGAAGACCCCTTCCTATGAGTGCATTCAACTGATTGCAGGGCTCTGAGGTCAGACCCCGGGTCTGCGACTCAGCAGAAATGCCCCCATGGAGCGTCCAGTGCCACGGGCAGAACGGCTGTCCCTGCTGCCGAAGGGGTGGGCAGTGGGGTGGGACACCAGAAACTGTTCCCAAAGACCAAGCTGGTTCTGTCCCTGAATGAGAGAAACGAGACCTTTCTTCTCCCGATGGGACATTTCATTTGAAAGCAAATGGCCCTTCTCTGTGAGCTCAGTGCTTGGATTCTCACCTGCCGGTCACGGTCCGAATCATGAATAATTTAAGGGGACGGAGCTTTGCATAGAGACGCGTTTAGCATGACTCACCGGAAGCCCGTGTGTTACCATCCTAGATGGACTTAAGTGATATTAAAGATTCATACGTGAGAAAAAAAGAGATTCCATTCAGTTCGGAGCAGAAATGGATGGCAGCACGATGCAGCCCCAAGAACGAGGTGAGTTTGCCTCTCTGCCCCTCCCGCCCTCTCTCCTGCACCCCAAAGAAAGGAGAATGGAGGCACCAGGGAGGAGAGTTGAAACTCCCAGCTTCTACGAAGTTTGAAATCCGTGAATGGTGACTGCAAGTAGAGCTTTATCATGCGTTCTCCAAGATCTTTTCCTAAAACAGTAGTTCTCCAAGTGGGGTTCCTGGGCCACCAGGATCCCCGGGGAATTCGTGTAAAATGCAGATTCTCAGGCTCCACCCAGAACCTTGGAGTCAGAAATATCAGGAGTGCAGGGCGCCCTGGGTGGTTCCCAAGTTGAGCATTTGACTCTGGGTTTTGGCTCAGATCATGATCTCATGATCTCAGGGTCGTGAGATTGGCCCCGTGTCGGGCTCTGAGCCCCGTGTGGAGTCTGCTTTGAGATTTCTTCCCCTCCCTCTCTGTCCCCTCTCCGCCTCCCCCAGCTCACAATCTCTGTCTCTCAGATACACACACACACACACACTCTTTCTCTCTCTCTTTAAAAAGAAGATCGGGAGTAGAGCCAGGAACCTGCATTTGCGGGGCATTTTGACGAACGCTCCCACCGCTAACAGTGACCCCCTTGCTAACTTGGGGGGCCTTTTTCCACACCCTGGTGCTGAGTTCTTTACAGGTACAAGCACCTTTGATTGTCACCAGGTAGGGATCAGGAGGTGCGTCCCAGCACCCAGCACGGTTCGCATTACACGTGTGCACATGGACACGCGTGTGTGCCCTGCTCTGGGTGACCCGAACATACACCAAACCCCTCACGGCTCTCCCTGCGTGGGGATGACAGCTGACTTCTTTTCCCCCTTTTTTTTTTTTAAGCTTCTGTAGCTTTTCAGATTTTCAGATAAAAGGCTTTGGGATTTGTTTTTTCCCCCTAAGTTTTCGGTATCGTCTTCCACCTTTTTCTCCAGCCCTTTACGCCTCTCTGCGCTTTCCAGAACCTTCACATCTTGCTCTTGGGAGACTTCTCTGTTGTTCAGGGTTGGGGGGCGGCGTGGCCAGCGCATTCCAGGCCTTTGCTGTGAGCAGATGGGCACGTGACTCCTTCCTGCTTAAAAGGGGTTACAGATTTTTTAAATGCTTTAATGCCTTCAAATCTTTTTTTTCCTCCCCAAAGACAATGGTATTATAATCTCATTGAAATAAATGAAGGAAATGTGACTTTAAAAATGAGAGGTCTTTACAATTCTGCTCCTCTCTCCTCACCGGTCACCCCCCCCAGCAGTCGGGATGGAATATTCCAGGTCCTAAATGGGCACACAGCAACGTACGGGGTGGTTTTAAAACCGGGTCATGCTGGAGATCGTGCTTGTAATTTGCTGTTTTCCCCCGACGGTGAGGTCTCAGACACCTTCCCGTATCCGTTCACAGGAGCTCATTCCAGCCCGGCATCGGCACGCAGGCTCTGTGCCCATGCGGGCGACAGAGTGTCACCCACAGTGGCACCGCGCCTTCTGCGCCGAGCTACTGTCCACGGCAGCCAGAGCCAAAGTCCGCAGAGGACGGTTGGGGGTTTGTTCGGGTCCCTTTAGTGAGCCCCGTGCGGCAGCGAACAGAACAGGAACCACACCTGCCGTTAAAGCAGACACACCAGCGCGCAGTCCCGGACGCACAGATGTGACGGTGCCTGGGCTACGAGCGGTTCACGAAATGCCCGGGATGCCGTCCGTGACATCGGCAGGGGACGTCAGAGAGGCGGGTGTGGGTCTAAGATCCGCCTGGATCCTGCCATGGGCTGCTGGTGTCCCGTCGCCCGGCTTTCCCCTCATTTATCCAGCCTGTGCTGTGCTGGTGAGCGGGACGCTCCGCGAGAAACAGCCCCGCCGGCAGCCTCTCTGTGAGCACGAGGGGACGGTCACGGAGAGCCGAGGCATCCGATGATAGGGGCTTTCTTTTCTTTTCCAAGGACCAGGAGGACATTTACTTCATGAAGGGGGCCTTTGAAGAGGTGATTAACTACTGCACCACGTACAACAACGGGGGCATCCCTCTGCCGCTGACACCCCAACAGCGAGCCTTCTACCAGCAGGAGGAGAAGAAGATGGGGACACTCGGCCTGCGTGGTCAGTACCTTCCGTCCCCAGCCCCGAGATTTAAGCAAGGGCGGCACTGACTTTTCAAGTGCACTAATGCAGGGTTTTTGGTAAGGGGAGGGAGCGGGACGGCCGTCGGGCGGTGCGTGATGGGAGTAAAGCAAGCGTGGAACTAATGGGCAGATGAGAAACAGGCAGCTCTCAGAGTGCCCGCTCCGGGAGCACTGGTGCTCAGGAGTCAAGGCCAGGACGAGCCAGCAGCCGGAGCCTGTCACCCGCAGTGCCCTCCTGCGCGTGTCCTGCCCCTGCAGCCGCTCCCCAAAAAGGGCAGACGGCAAGAGCAGAGACCAGAAGAGCTGCTGGGAACGTGCCACGGCACCCCCGCTTGCCGCTCTCCTTCCTGCCTCTCTCGCTGGGGCGAGGCTGGGCTTGACGCCACCAGCGGACAAAAGTCTCACTTTCTGTGGGTCAGGTTGTCTCTGTTTCTGTCTCGGGGCCAGCCGTGCACAGCTGCTGCCCTGCGCGGGCCAGCCAAGCCCCGGGGAGCCCTGCGCAGGCGAGGCGGATCTGGGATGCAGAGCGGCCGGGCTGACGGGGGACTTCGTGGCCCCCTTGGCCCCCCCGTGGACCTTCTGTGCCTCTTGGTCTTTCCTCAGTGCTGGCCCTCGCTTCTGGGCCCGAGCTGGGGAGCCTGACTTTTCTGGGGCTCGTCGGCATCATCGACCCTCCGAGGGCTGGCGTGAAGGAGGCTGTGCGTTTGCTCTGCCAGTCGGGCGTGTCGGTGAAGATGATCACGGGGGACGGGCTGGAGACCGCCTCCGCCATAGGTCAGTGGGCAGGGCGGGCGGCGTGTCCGGTCGGCGCACGGTGACCGTGAGCTTCGAGGACCGGCACTCCGCCTTCAGAGGGCTGGCCCTAAAACGTGGGCCGGTCCTCTGAAGGGGAGAGCCTTTGTGTCCACTGTCAACGTCCTACGGCCTGGGGGCTTTCGTCCTCGAGCTTATGTCCCCGTCCCAGGCAGCATCATTCCCGTGTTCACTTCTGGGATGGCTTCCGCCACCAGCCGTGAGACCTTGGCAAGTCACTGAGCCACTCTGACGTCCAGGCTCTTTGCCCACAGCGGGCCAGCCACACCCTTCCTGTCACTACACTTGCTGCCGGAATGAGGGTCACACCTTGCTGTGCTCCCCGCTCTGTCTCAAGGCCCCTGGCCTATGAAAAGATCAGAGAGTCCAGAATCAGACAAAACCACATCTGGTTCCAGCACCACCCGTCACCCGCTCTGTGACCTTAGGGAAGCCCCTTGCCTCCCTTTCCTTGGCTTTAAAGCAGGGAGCACGAGCTCTCTGTTGCCGGTTAATTCCGTGTGACACGGCAGGTGTGTGGTGGGTGGCAGCCATCACTCTGTGTGGCCCAGGCAGGGACTGGGGTCAGGAAGGTGCAGATGGGGGCGGCGCGGGAGCAGCCTCAGGCTTGGGAGCCAGCGCTCAGACGGCTTCTCCGCCCCCTGCAGGAAGGAGCATCGGCCTGTGCAACGGGAAGCTGAAGGCCATGTCCGGGGACGAGGTGGAAAACATGGGGCAGGAAGAGCTGGCTGACTGCGTCGGGAAGGTGGGGTCCTCCCGGGGGGGGGGTCTCGCTGTGGGGAGGAGGGAGAGTTTTAGCCCCAAGGTCACGGACTCTGCCCTTCTGTGACCCCATGCCCAGGTGTCTGTCTTCTTCAGGACCAGCCCGAAACACAAGCTCAAAATCATAAAGGTGAGCTGGGAGCCTCGTGGGTCCGTCAGGGCCAGCCCGGGACGGTGGCGGGGACTCTGCTCCGGGTGGTCCAGGGCCCAAGCTGGCGGGAGACTCGGCCGTCCCCAAACCGGGGTAGGAGCACAGGGGGACCTTGGCCACATACACCAAAAACAGGAGCTGGAACGGGGTGGTGCAGAGGGAGAAAGGAAAAGCAGCTGGCCTCTGTTAGCCGAGCGATCTTTGGTGTTATTCTTGTTAGTTACCTCCAGGCCTCAGTTTCCCCATCTGTAAACAGGGGGAGGGGATAGTATGAATGACATCAGCTGGTAACAAGGCCGGTGAGAGGAACAGAGGAGGCCAGGCTCTGGAGCGCCCCTCGCAGTGCCCGGCCCGCAGCGGGTGCCCAGCAGAGTGGACACGGTCTGCTGCCCGCGGGGGAGGGGGGCCCTGACGCATCGCTGGCCTCCCGCGTGTGCGCATCCGAAGATGTGCTCTGTGGCCTGGGCTGTTTGATCCTCGATGCTCTTGGGGGGGGGGGGGGTGTTTTTCTAGGGAGCAAGTCTGCGTGCGCGGTATTCCCAAGAGCAAACATGAAGACTTACTGGCTGCCACGTGGTTTCAGGGGAAAGCGGTAGACCGGTCTTTGTTAGTGGAGAGGGAGCCCGACACCCGCCGTCGTAGTGTGGCTCTCACAGAGGAGGGACGGTTGTCCCCACTCTGCAGATGGAGAAGCTGAGTCTGAGAGGTTCAGGGCGTGCTGAGCTCCACGGGATGCCGGCGTGGCTGGGACTCGGAGTCTGGCCAGCTGACTCCAGAGGGGGCCTCTGCTGTTGGCCATGCGGAGGGAGAGGCAGAGCATCCCGAGGGAAGAAGGAAGGTTCTGGAAGGGCTGCAGCCTCCACTCGCCTCTTTTTTCCAAAGGCTTTGCAGGAATGTGGGGCGATCGTGGCCATGACAGGGGATGGGGTGAATGACGCTGTCGCCCTCAAGTCTGCGGACATCGGGATCGCCATGGGGCAGACGGGGACGGACGTTAGCAAAGAGGCTGCCAACATGGTCCTGGTGAACGATGACTTCTCAGCCATCATGTGAGTTGCTCCGCAGGTGGGGCTTTTAGGGGCAGAAACGCATGGTGTAACCAGCCGCCCGCCCCGGGGATCCGTCGTGCCAGGGAGACAGGTGTCCCAGCTCACGTAGCACGCGGGGCCGGGGCTGCTGCAGACACATGCGAGCAAACCCTTCTGTAGCCCGAGGGTGCAGCGGAGGAAAAGCCAGGACCGGGCGCTCGCAGACAGAGGCGCGTGCCCGTGCGGTCGCTGCCACACCGTTTGGGGGAAATCCTAGACCACCCTGGCTGCCAACAGCGGGAGCGGGAGCACGAGGAGGCCAGACCCGGAGATGCTCACCCCGTAGTGCTAAACGTGTGGTTTGAGTCTGGGGTCGTGCTCGTGTGGACACGGACACTTGGGGCGCGTGTGAGCTCCAGCTGCCAGGATGACAAAGCACCTGTTTTCTTCACCTTTTTTTGTTTCCTTAAAAAAACCGCCTGCCCTCTGGATCTGATTTTGATTCGTTCTAATGAAGTCTTTCCTTCTAAGTGAACTGGAGTCACTGGGGGTGGGAGAAGATACCAAGTATCTGAACAAAGACTGACGTTGGCTGTGATTTCGGACTTTGCAGAAGGAATCTTTTCTTTACAAATGGATTCACTGTAGCGATCCTTAGTGTCCTTCCCCCGTCATGCGGGGGGGGGGTGGTCACAAGATGCAGTTAGTAAGTAAATCTGTCATTTTTACTTTTGCAAAAAACTTTAGTAGAAAAAATGATTGGGCAGTTTTCGGCATTCATGCCTCCAGATCGTTTTTTTAAAGGACTTCTGCAGAGTTTTCTAGAAATACAATAGATGATGTTTTCAGCTTCCCAATTCTCCCCCCTGCCATGCACCAGCAGCTCAGGAGCAGGTCTGGGTTTGGTTGGTTTTGCTGTGCCTCTTGTGGGACTCCCAGAGGTGGGTTTGTTGCTTCAGGAGTCCCAGGCTCGGGCGGGAAAGGAATCCAGTTTGGGGGCAGAAGGGGGATCGTGGCTCACGGTCCAGTCCCCAGCGCCGGCTGGTGCTGATCAGGACATCGTCGTCCTCCGTGGGCATGTCCTTGAGCAGCGAAACAGGAAGGGGCACCCGAGCATGAGGCCATCCCTGCTGACACCATCGTGAATAAACGCTTTCTCTCTCGCAGGAATGCAGTGGAGGAAGGCAAAGGGATTTTTCACAACATCAAAAACTTTGTCCGGTTCCAGCTGAGCACGTAAGTCAAGGCCCGCAGCTCCCAGTGGTGGCAGGTGCTGCGCACGCGTCTGGTGAGCCGCTGTCGACCATGCCGCGTGTGTCCCTGCAGGAGCATCTCAGCCCTGAGCCTCATCACTCTGTCCACTGTGTGCGACCTGCCCAGCCCCCTCAACGCCATGCAGATCCTGTGGATCAACATCATCATGGACGGGCCACCCGCACAGAGGTGAGGCGCTGAGCGGGCGGCCAGAACTGCGCCCCGGAGTGTGGGTGCAGTCACTGTCCCCAAGAGTCCCAGAGAAGTTGACTGCGGTGCAGGGGAGGAAGCACCTGCCTGGGCAGCCAGAGTCTGTGAGGGATGCTCCTGCGCAGCTCCAAGGCTCTGTGCCTCTCGTGAGGTCACCACCTCCAAGAAGTCCTCCCTGATTACCCTAACAGCAGCCTCCTGGCTCTCAATCACCGTACCCTGCTTTGTTTTTCCCCGGAGGAGAAGATATACATGTATGTCCTTGTCCTTGCTTATCTGATTTCGATCTAGCTCCCCTTGGACAAGGTTTGTGATGTTCCCGTTAGTCTCCCTGGCTCCTAGAACGGCGCCTGGGACACAGCAGCTGGTCAGCGAGTGGCTGGCTGAGAAGGGAGCGCTAGGTGGGCTGAAAGGTGCAGAAGGACCACCTCTGCACACAGCGTGTCGTTCCATCGGACTGCATCTGACACGCATTCCATTACCAACGTTCACTCGGTGTCACCGGTTACAGCTGCCAGGGGCAAGAGCCCTACTCAGTCCCCCTGGGCCCAGCGGAAGGGCACCTCTTCAACATGCGGGGAGCGGGGCCAGCAGTGAAGGGGGCCCCAGCCCACTTAGTCCTCAGTGCCCCCCGCACTGCCTCCTGATGGTCTAGCCCCAATACTGCTGTTTCACAGTCCCCGGGAGACAGGTGTCCCTCCGTCACTGGGGGCTCTGCGGTGGGCAGGGCCTGGATCCCGTTTCTCTAGCCCACTGGGGCGTCCCCTTGTGATGGACGTTACCTGAGCACAAGAGGGGACCTGGGGTAGTTCCAGGACCGTGGTGTGGCCAGTTCTGGGGTAGGGGGGGTCTTCCTTCACGGTGCTCAGGGATGGTGGAGGGAAGGGCTGCCCGTGGGGCCCAGGCTGGGGGTGGGGGTCACCGTGGAAGGGGCTGGCAGTTAGGGAGGGGACAGAGGATGTGCAGGGAGGCTAATAGAGAAGTCCCTGTGAGTGCGGGACTGGCCCGGGCTTGGGTGGACCGCCTGGGGGGGCTGGGCCCCCCATCCCCCCGACCTCCCAGCCGGTGGTGCCCAGGGAGCTGACCGGAAGGCCTGGAAGGTTCCGGCTCTGCCTCAGATGTGCTTGTTCAGCCTCTGCCTGGCTGGCTGGAGGGTCCCTTCTCAGTGGTTTACGTCCGGGCGCCCATGTCGTGTTCTGAGCAGCTTGGGGGTAGAGCCTGTGGACAGAGACGCCCTCCAGCAGCCACCGCGGAACGTCAAGGACACCATCCTCAGTAGAGCCCTCATCCTCAAGACCCTCCTGTCGGCAGCCATCATCATCAGCGGGACACTCTTTATCTTCTGGAAAGAGGTGAGGCCGGTCCTCACGGACTTGCTAAGCCACTGTTCGCTAAGCCCCTGATGGGGGAGACTCAGGCCATGTGTGTGGACGGTCCCTGCCCGGCCATGGGGCTCAGCCTCCAACAGGGGAGACACGTGTATGCGTACAGGGGGCCATCCTGGAGGAAAGGCAGGGGATCAGGACCCCACTGTGGGGAGCAGGTAGCAGGACAGGAGGCCGCCCAGGCGTGAACCAGAAATGAGAGTTTATTCTAAATGGGACCTAAGGCAGTTTTCTATCCCGGAAACAATGAAATTTCCTAGGAAGGAAGGACGGGACGTTTGTTCCCTGGAGACGGTCACTTGTGGGAACTTACTGGTCCCCTTTTGGTGCAGTGCTCGGACTAGAGAACCAGGCAGGTGACACATGCACCAAGGGGGACGGGACACTGGGTCCCCACAGATTCTCAGTTTTTCTGAGCCTCCCCCGCTAGAGGAATGGCCTTGTTTTTCCCCAAATTCTCACCTGCCATGGAAGTGGGGATTCTCTACCTCATGCAGCCCGTGTGCACCCCCTGGCGGGGAAGGGGACCCAGGCTCTCCAGGACTTGCACAGCGGTCCTGAGCACAGGGTCCCCAACAGCAGCCTCCTCCGCTCCGGGACCTGAGGGAAACGCAGACTCCTGGGTGCCCACCAGGACTCCGAGTCAGGTTCTAACTCACCCTACCCGCCCCCCACCCCCAGGAAGGTCATTTGCTGGAACAGGGTTCTGTGCGAAGCCCAGGCAGGACGGGCTCATCGCCACCTCCCCGGGGCAGGGGGAAGTTCGGGTGCGAACATGAGTCCCTCTCACCTGTGGCTCCAGGCCCGGCCCAGAGGTGTCGGGGGAAGTGAGCTCTGCCTCCCTTCCGAGCAGCCACACCAGAGCCGGGGAGGGTCTCCATCCCCTCCCTTCTTCCGGGAAGGGACCTTCTGCTCCGTGGGTGTGGCTGCAGCAATGTCACCTCCCAGGATGCAAGGTCACCTGCTGGAGAAAGGAACACTCCCTTTATCCGTGCAAGGTTTCGGCTTGGGTGTGGGGGGCAGCCCAAGTTCCTGAGGACGGGCTGCCGGCCCCTCTAGCAGCCGGGCTGGCCTGGGTGGGGGGCGGGTCTGAGCCACGTGTCCCCTGTAACAGCAGCTGCCTCCAGACCGAGCGGGAGGTCCTGGTCAGTTCCCGAGAAAGCCGCTCCCTGCTGCTGGCGGGGGAGGTGGGGGTGGGGGGTATGGGGGTGGGGGTGATGCCCACCCTGGAGCTGCTGCAGCCTCTGGCTCTTGGTGAAGGTCGAGGTCATTGTGGGAAACGCACGGCCTTCCCGGACCCCTCCTCCCGTGCCTGTGTTCCAGGTCCCCGCAGACAAGGCCAGCACCCCACGCACCACAACCATGACCTTCACCTGCTTTGTGTTCTTCGACCTCTTCAATGCCTTGACCTGCCGCGCTCAGGTGGGCCCCGGGCTGCGCCCCCCCCCCCCCCCCCCCCCCGCCCTTCAGGACCCGGGGCTGTTCTCAGTGGGCGTGGGCTGACAAAGTGTCCTCCCTCCTGCAGACCAAGCTGGTAGCGGAGATCGGTTTCCTCCGGAACCGCATGTTCCTGTACTCGGTGCTGGGGTCCGTTGCGGGGCAGCTGGCCGTGATCTACATCCCGCCCCTGCAGAAGGTCTTCCAGACCGAGAACCTGGGCGCTCTCGGTGAGTGGCCGTGAGGACGGGCCTGCGGGGGCCAGCACCTGTCCCCGCCCCCACCTGCCTGCACACTCGGGGGAGGGGGACAGAAGACTGAGGGAGCCAGAGAAGAGGTACCTCCCCAGAGAGGACGACGGAAGGGAGGGGATCTGGCCTCCTGGCCCCTTGTCCCCAGGTGGGCGGCTCCGAGCACACAGGGCATAGACAACAAGGGCGGGGGGCTGCGCCACGGTGGGCGAGTCTGGGCTCCGTCTGCCCCCACTGGCGGTGGACTGGTATGTCCCGGACGCCCACTCACCTCACGACAGGGAGCAAATCGCCTAGTAGCTCTTGCTGGAAAAGACAGGAACTGAGGCCCACGGCTGTCCCCCACCTGAGCACACCTGTCCTGGTCTCCGCCCAGGCTGACCACAGGTGCAAGCTCTCTGTAAGCCGCCCAGAGTGACCTGTGTGCCTCTGCCTGCAGCTGAGATGACTGTGAACACAAACGGGAAAAGGGGACAGTCAGGAGGAGGAGGTTTGAGCTGCGGCTTTGACACGTCCCTGGGTCAGGACAGAGGTGGGGGACACGAGAGCCCTGGACCCTTGGGCCAGACTGGGGACCGTCTGCTCGCTTTTCCCCAAAATCTAACGGCAGGGTCCATGTGGGTCCCCGCCAAGTGCCCTACAGCTACAGACAAGAAGTAAGAACTTTAATGGCTGGTCCTCTCTGCAGGGAACTAAGTCAGCTTTACCAAAGCTAACAGCTGGGGTGTGGTTGGTGGGGCCCCGTGTCTGTGCTGGGTTATTGGCAACAGGGACCCAGGGAAGGTTCAGACAGTAAGACACCGTGCGGTCAGGGGCGGCTCTAGGGACTGACCCACTGGAATGAGTCAGGGTGGGCTGCCCTGGGAGCCCGGAGCCGGGGTCAGGGTGTCTGCCCTCAGGACAGCTGGGAGGAGGGTCAGGGTCCTCTGCCAGCTCAAGTGGGTGCCACACCCTGCCCCCAGCCTGGGACCACCTGGAAGGACCGGGTGGTCTGCGTGGAGCTGGCTCTGCCACATGTAGGACCCTGGGTTGAAGCCATCTGCTCCCAGGAAGGGAAGGGTCTGGCCCTCAACTCCCCGGGTCCTTCCCCCCACCTCTGGGGTCCCTGTGACTGAAGACAGGGAGGGAGGGGCGCTCCGGGCTGAGGCTCCTGTGAGCTGGCTGGCAGCGCCCCTTCGGGGCAGAGGCCCACGGCACGGGTTCAACCCGTGCTGACTCCTTTCTTCCTCCCCCTTCCGGCAGATTTGCTGCTTTTAACCGGACTGGCCTCGTCTGTGTTCATCGTGTCCGAGCTCCTCAAACTCTGTGAAAAATTCTTCTCCAGAGCCAGGAAAGCCCAGACTCACCCAGATCACGTCTAGGGGACCTGGCTGTGTGAAATCCTAAATCATCTCTATTTGATGGGACTGTGGCCCTTCCCCCGGCCCCTCGCCAGAGGGACGCTGCCAGGACACGGAGCGCTGGGCCTCTCCCTCGGCTCTGCGGCTCGACCATCCTGGGCCTGCGTCCATCCTCATCTCTGTCCCCGGGACGGGCCCTGAGCAGAGCGCCCGGAAACAGCTACTTATTAAACCGCAGTGACTTGTATGAACCACGGCTGCCTCCAGAGTGTGTCCCCGCAGCGCCCGGGTGAGGAAGATCAGGCGTCCAGCCCCGGGGCCAGAGCTTCTGGTTGCTCCAGGGCCACCTCCCCTCCATCACCTCAACCCTCAGGAGGGGGATCTGAGGCATTTTGTAGAAGCTGCGCCCACGCCTGGTCCACCTTCTCCCTCCAAGCAGCCAGACGGGAAATCTGATGCCACTTCTGGAAACCCACAAAGCCTGTTTTTCATGACCACGTCCAGGGTGACCCACGGTCCCACTCTGAGCGGCAGGAACCAGACCCATTCTTTGAAGGGGAACAGTAAAGGGACTTTACCTCCAGCCCCGGGACCCGGAGCATCTCCCAGCTGCCTGAGGACGAGCCCCAGGACTTTTGGTAAAGATGGTGGAGCGGGGAAGGAGGGAGCCAGGCAGGAAGCGGCCACGGAGGAGCAGCGCCTGGGAAAGGAGCCACAGCTGTCCCCAGCACCCCCTGCCACCAGGTATTAGGGAGAGGGAGGGACACAGCCTGTCGGAAGAGGCCGGCGCACCTGACTGTGAGGGCTGGCAGCTCCGGAGCGCGCCGACAGGGACTCCTTCCTTCTCCGACATCCCAGGCCTTTCTCTTAAGCCTTCAACTGGTTAGATGAGGGTCACCACGTTCTGGAGGCCACCGCGGCGATCCAGAGCCAACGGACTGGAATGTGGAGCCACCTAAAAAATCTCTCACGGGAACAGCTAGACTGGCTCTTGGTCAAACAGCTGGGCACCAGAGCCTACCCGAATAGAGAAAAGTAGCCGACTGCCTGGGGTGGTGACGCCTGGGCCAGACCAGGGGCAAGGAGGTCCGAGTGGACCCCTGCAGCTCCCAGGCAAAGTTCAGATTCCTCAGAAGGAAGATGCATGGTCTGGGGTCACTATCCTCCCCCCACCCTGCCGTGACCCCCACTAGTGACCCCAGAGCTAAATGCGGAGACGCACGGGTGCCATCCCACCGCAAAGATGATCGAGGGCGCGGCCTGGAGAGGAAGGCATTCAGACGGGGGTGATGGCCACCCAGCAGCTGCCCAGCCCTGCTAACTCCTGAGCAGGGCAGGCCGACTCTGGCCACCCCCACAGCCTGGGGCACACCGGGGTCGGATTCAGGATCCCTTCCCAGCACCATGTTGCCCCTTAAATCATCAAGAAGAACCAGGGTCGACCGATACTTGCAGTAACAGCATCAAAAGGTACTCTTAGTCTTTACTACCATCCAGAAATCCCTAAATAAAATGCCATACAGAACAGCTCCCGGTAGACTATCCATGTAAAAGATAAAATAACAACTACTACTACCAGGGACAGGTGAGATCTTGCTAACCAAGACCCCAACTGCAGGTCGTAAAGTAAAATGCATAAATCAGATTACAAGCAAACGTAAGCCATCTTTTCACCAAAATGCAGCAGACCTGAACACCTTTGAAGCAACTGAGCTTGACTCCCATTTCTAGAACACGTACCCATCAGCAGTGGCGGGACAGTGACCAAAATAAGAACAGGAAACGGCAGAAAGCAGGGGAGTCCAAGATTTTTGATTTTGGACAAAAATCATATCAAAAGCTAGTTCCTCGAAGGTACCAATACAATGGCCCGTCTTGCTAGAGGGTTAGCCAAAGGAAAAAGAGATGGCTCATGTTGGGAAGGACGGTGGCTGATCATGACGGCTCCCTGAAGATACTCCAGCAGGAATCCTGAGAACCTCAGGCGCAGAAATTCAACAGGTTAAATAAACCAATTCCGTGAAAACCACAGACAACTGCAACACGTTACTATGCAGTGATCTGATTAGTCCCCAGACTTCTAAGGTCAGTGATGTAGTTTAAACCGTTCCCCCAAAAAGGAAATCTTGTGACATTGGACACCAATCCGAAAGCAAGTTAATGAAGAAAACATCATTTCAGTAAATGCTGTTGGAACACCGAGAAAGCCACCCTCGACTCAAGCCCCCTGCCTTCCACAAAAACGAACTCAAAGTGAGCCACAGATGAAAACCCAGAAGAAAAAGAGGGGAAAAAGTCTTTGGGATCTAGGATTCAGCAGAGTTCGTAGACATGACCCTGCGAGACCATCCCTAAAAGATAAGAGAAACAGTAAATATGTCGTAGTGGAATTACTGGGTCCTGTGGTAGTTCTGGTTTTAACTTTCTGAGGAACCAATGAAAATGAAAACACTAAAAACTCAAAAAGGTATTTGCCCCCGTGTTTACTGCAGCATTATTTATAATGGCCAAAACGCGAAAGCAGCCTTTGGTCCATCCACAGATGAGTGGACACAGAAAATGTGGTATACATCCAAAGGAGTATCACTCAGCCATAGAGAGAATTAGACCTTGCCCCCCACTTTTGGGAGAGAGCGAGCACGTGTGCTCAATGGGAGGGGGTTGGGGGGCACAGAAGGAAAGAGCGCAGGCATCTTAAGCAGGCTCCTCACCCAGCACGGGCCCGATGGGGGCCTCAATCTTCCCACCCTGAGAACACGATCTAAGCTGAAATCAAGAGTTGGGACACTTAACTGACTGAGCCACCCAAGTACCCCGAGAACATTACTCAGCTATAAAAAGAATGAGCTCTTAGGGCACCTGGGTGGCTCAGCTCGTGAAGCATCTGCCTTCAGCTCAGGTCATGATCCCAGGGTCCTGGGATCGAGCTCGTGTCCGGCTCCCTGCTCAGCAGGGGTCTCCCTGTCCCTCCACCATACTCATCCTCTAATAAACAAATAAAATCTTAAAGAAGGAGCTCTCGCCATCTGCAGAAACACGGAGCCAGCAAGTATAACACGAAGTGAAATAAGAGAAAGATGCTGACCGATTCTGCTCCTACGTGCCACCTCAGAAACAAAGCAAATGAACAAGGAAAAACACTGACAAACCAAAAACAGACTCTTACCTATAGAAAACACATGATTCTCTATAGGTTACCAGAGGCGAGGCGGTGGGCCCAAAGGCACATACAGCAGTGCGGAAACCACTGTGTCGTACACCGGAAACCAACACCACACCGTACCTTCACTGCATTTAATGAACACTGAGAAATACGTAGGATTGTTGAATCATTATATTGTACGCCTGCAACTAGTAACACTAAATAACACTTGAATAAAAAATAATTGTTTCAGAGATGCCCGGGTAGCTCAGTGGGTTAAGCCTCTGCCTTCAGCTCAGGTCATGATCCCGGGGTCCTGGGATCGAGCCCTGCATGGGGCTCTCTGCTCAGTGGTGAGCCTGCTTCCCCCTCTCTCTGCCTGCCTCTCTGCCTACCTGTGATCTCTGTCTGCTGTTCTATTTGTGATCTCTCTCTGTCAAATAAATAAAACCTTAAAAAATTGCTTCAAAATGCAGGAAAAAAGATTAATTTCACCCAAAATAAAACATTTTGCCCAGAAAAGTCATTATTTAAGAGAATGAAAAAAAAAAAAAAAGACTGAACAAATATTTTTAAATCTCACACTCAAAAGACTTTGATCCGGACTATTTTTTAAAACCTTAAAATCTAACACTGATAAAACAGGAGGAGGGCGAAAGTCTGGAACGAGGCTTCCCGGCGGGGACCTGGGGTACATTCGCACAGGAAGTGACGTTCCGCCTTAGCCCACAAGGAGGCGCGCCGCACACCTGTCGGAGCAGCCGGGCCCGCCGCCAGGACACCTGCGAGCAGCCGCCAGGACACCTGCGAGGCGCGGAGGAGCTGGGAAGCCCCGCCCCCACCCCGGTGCTGCTGGAGGGCGGGTGCGCCCGGCCGGGCTCTGCAGAGCAGGCGGACCCCGCGTCCTGTCAGGTTCAACCCACGCTTAGTAGGTGACCAGCAACGCCCTCCCAGGGACGGACCCCCGCGCGCACATCAGTCCGTACGTGAGCGCTCAGGGCCGCCTTCCCCGTAGGAGCCGGATCTCAGAAGACCCAGCCTCGTGCCGGGGGGAGCGGCTCAAGGAACTCGGCAGCCCCCCTCCGCGGAGGGCTCCCCAGCGGCGAGGGAAGCGGACACAGGCGCGGACACGTGGCATCCTGGGGGGGGGGGGGCGTCTCCCAGCTGCCGCGCTGAGTGACAAACCAGTCTTACTGGTCACGTACCACATGGCCCCACTGACCTCCTGTTGTCTAAGTGACAATGACGGTGACGGAGAACGGTTCAGGGTTCGGGGACGTGCCTACAAGCAGGGGAGCAGAACGAGTTTGGGGCGCGGTGGAACAGGGCCCAGCAGTGGTAGCGGCGGTTACGGGCCTCTATACCCGGGTTTCACTGGTGGTGCCGGCGGTCCCCGAGGCCCCCCCCAGGCCTGGTGATTCTCTAGAAGGACTGACGGAGAGGAGGCCGGGGAGCTCTGCTCCTGGACCACTCCCAGCTCTGACCCTTGGGCGGCTCGGATCTGCATCCTTCCCCGGCCCGAGCCTCACCAACAGTACGACGGGCTTCACGAGTTCCGTCTTTCTAGCGAGTTGTCCAACCCGACGCTAACGCTGGAACCCTCTGAGCGATCGGCGGGTGTCGGAAGGCCTGGGCAGCTTTGCCATCTGGAGGACTGTGCCCTTAGCCTTGACCTTGCCTAAAAGCAGGTGCTATGGGAAAACCAGCGGCATTCGAGCAAGGCGGGCTGCTGAGCAGAGACGGCTGTACCAACGCCAGTGGCCCGGTTTGGGAAACAGCTGGGAACGGGGAAGACACTGTCATTAGGGGAAGCTGGGGGAGGGGTCCACGGGAACTCCCCGGACTCGTTCCACAAGCTGCATCAGTCTAAATTATTTCAAAGTTTGTAAGGAAAAAAAAAAAAAAGACTCAGAAAAATCGAGCTAAGGTCACCAGGCAAACACACACACGGGAGCGACACAGTGTCAGACAAGATGAAAATCGAGCCAAAAGCATCAGGCGAGACCAGGAA